TGGTGTAAATGAATCTGCCAGAGGTAATCTTAATACCTCTTGTGCATCAGGAGCATGCATATTCTTCTCATAGACTAAAGATGATGATATCAATGACAATGAATTTGATGAATGCACAAGGTTCCCCTCTAGACATTGAGCATCAGACTGATGGCTCTGATCAACAACAATTGGTGGTAGTTCAGACAAACCAGATGGTGATGTGATAAATTTGTTTGCTGGCTTGATGTCTGATGGTGTCACAAATGGGTTTGTTACAGCCAAAGACGCAGATGAATTTGCATTTGGCAATAAGGAGCTCACTTGAAGCTTTTGAGTTCTCCATTGAAGAGGGGGGAGTGGGGGAAGTGGGGGTGGTTCTTCAGAATTCTGTGAAGGAAAGCACGAAGTTGATTCATCTGACTGCGGCTCAGAGGATAGTCTTGATGTACTTTCAGTAACGAAAACAACGGAGCTTGGTGAGAGTGAAAACGTCATATCTGAGACATTGGAAGCAATTTGACATGCAGAAATTTCAGAACAGCATTCCGATGAAACAAGTGCTGAACCCAGCTTTTCAGTCATGGTTGTGCTTGATGGCGTTATGTCCAACTCATCATACTTTACATTGCTCATGAAGGCATGATGATTTTGTTCAGGTCCTTCTGATGGTTCTTCATCAACATCAACAGAGTTAATAGGAATGTCAAGCTCAAAATATTCACCCTTCTGATGTGAAGATTCTATTTCTACTTCATTACTGGCTTGCAAGGTAAATGCCTCCTCAGGTAAACTTGCACTTGCATGATCAAGCAATAAGTTGGCCGATAAAGACATCTCTTGTTTTGCACTTTCATGATGACCTTGTGCTGAATATTTTGGACCAAAATCTTGTTTGCTTTCTACAGGATATTCTAGACATGTATCATTGACAAAAGGATGCAGATTCCCATGGACATGCACATTTGGCATCATATCACAAATGTCACCATGCAATCCATCATCATTTGCATCGGATGAATCTTCAACAGGCAATCCATGTGAAGCAACAGGGTCTTGTGCTGATTGTTCTACCCCTGAAAAAACTGCCATGTCTGGAGTGCTTTGGGAATCTAGAGATTTCGCCATCTTCGGATTAAATGTTTCACGGGTCTTCATTTGATGCTGATATGAGACCGCAGAATCAATGCTATCTTCTACCAACTGTAGTGGAAGGCCAGATGATTCTTTAGTGTAGACCGGGGAAGAATCATAACTATTAGTCTCATCTTCAGATGCAAAATTTTCAGCTGACATATCTTTGACATCAGTAATTTGTTCAAACCCTTGAACATCACTTTGGAGGTTTTCCTGAATATACTCATTAGCCAATTTTAGACCATCGCCAACAAGGACAGGATAATTAATGACCCTATCGAAAAATGTTTCACTTTCAAAACACAAAGGCACCTGCTCTGTGGAGTTCGTCTTGTGGGACTCTTGAGGTTCTGCTAATTTCACCTTGGGCGATTGTAGGGTTTCCTCAGTGCCCGAAAAATGCTCCAACTGAGGTTGTGGTATTTCAGGCATTGCAAGATTTTGTTTTGTCATGTCATCAGTGTCCTCACAACCAACTTCTAGATTTTCAACATCAATATTTTCCAATTTCTCAGTGCAATCTTTATCAGTGATGGGGACAATAGCAGAAATAAGAATTGGTGTGCTTTCAGTTGAACATACTTCAGCATCTTGATCTGTCAACTGTGGTGACTTCTCTATACTTGCATTTGAAGGATGTGACACGACTTCAATATGCCCCTCAAAAACTTCTGTAAGGCTGCTCTCATATTTTGATTCAGAAAGATAATCAGACATGCCAGATCCGGATTCCATCTCCTCTAAAATTAGCTCAACAGGATTGCACGGAGGATAAGGGTTTTCAGAAATAATGTCATCTTTACTCCCAATAGATGGGCCTGCCATATTGAGTAACACAAAAAAAAAATCAGTGAAAATGCTAAGGTTACAATGAGTCTGTGAAATATCAACTTGTGCTTCGCTGAAGAAGAAAATAAACAGATGTCTGTTTCACACATGAACTTACCATTCATAGTTTGAACCACATCGTCAGTTCCCTTCACATATTCAGAAGATATTTCTACGGTTGATTCTTCAGGATACTCTACACCGTCAGTTCCCTTCAAATAATCAGAAGATGTTTCTATGGTTGATTCTTCAGGATACTGACAAATGTTTATGTCTAAAGCAACATCATGTTGTATGATGCTGATATCAGGATCGAAATGAGGGGCAGTTGTTATGATGCTCCTCCCACCTAAACTAGCTGTTGTATCATTTTTGAAGGCAAAAGATTTGGTTCCTTGATCCATTGAATCCTGCGTCTCTTTTTCTGTCGGTGCAGTGATAAATGGTGAACCTTCATTACCATGATCTTCCATGGGTAAAGTTCTAGCTGGTGAAGAGGAAAGGCGGTTAGGCATGTCAAGCATCTCTGTAATGCCTTCTAAAACCAGCTCTTCCACAAGCTCTGGAGGCTGATGTATCTCGGGATCACTCCTATTAGAATGAGGTGAGCCTGTCATATCAAACAAATAAAGCATAAAGGAGGTCAGAGTTGTTAGTCTATCAAAACCACAGTATTTACTTGACTAGTTGCAAGATAAATCTACCATCTGAGCATTTGATGGTCTCATCTCTTCCTAACTGTGCTTCATGATCAGCTGAAGTGCCGACGTGGTAAGCTTTAACAAATTGCAGTGTTTCAAAGCCTTGTTGAGGACCAGTGCTAATGAGATTAGAAGTTGAGTTTATATCACAAGAATTGCAAGGTTCCTCTCCGATTTCTGATCTCAAAATGGGATTATCAAATGACTTTATATCGCTAGCTCCATCAGAAATCATATCAAATGAGTTGGCAACCTCGTCATGTGGCAAACACTCTTCACAGCTTTCATCATTGGTTTCACCGAGAAGATATTCTGAATTTGCAGAAGAATTTGAGGTGATTTCTTTTTCTTGAGTTGCTGGTGTCTCACTTAAATTACACAGATTACTTGATATTCCACTCTTTAAATTATGGTTCAATCCTATTGACACAATAGAGACTGCTGCCATATCCTGTTTTGAAAATTGAGTCAGCAGCTCGTCTAGCGTTTCACTGGTGTAAAAATTCATATCATAAGCTTCCTTTTGTGTAACACCAAGATCTGGTCTATCTTTATTTTCAGAATCTGTTTCTACTTCTGGTTCCATGCTGTTCAGTGCATCCATGAAATTCTCCTGCTCGCTACCACCATCTTCAGTCTTATAGCCATTGTTACTGTCTTCTAATATATGTTCAATATCCCCTAATTTATGATCTGCCACCTGAACTGATGTGGTTTTCTCAGTATCACTAAGCTCACCATCACAGTTACTGCTTTCTGATTTATTTTCAGCATCAGCAAACTTTTCTTTGTTCTCCACAAAGTTGAAGTTTCTCTGTGGATTTTGCATGTCACCAAGTGGCCCATGAAGTGCTTCTGAAAATTCTTCAGTTCCAGTCTTCCAATGATCAAATTTATATGTTAACTTTACCACTTCTTTGGTAGGGGTCTCGGTAGCACTAACATCTCTAACTAATGGATAGTTTGCTGATACATCCATAACGGTGTCATGCATTACAGAAGTCAATTCACCTGAATCCACTAAATTTACGTTTAAGCTTGAATGTCTTCTACTATTGTCCAAAACAACTTTCTGCTCATCTGAATGCAGTGCAAGAAGACATTTTCTTAAGTTACATCCTTTGCTTCCATTAGTATTATTTGAGTTCCTATATCTCAATCTCACAAGTCTGGTGGCAGATTTACTGGAAACCTGATCAGACACTGTTGTCTGCGAACTACACAAGACCAAAGATCAAATTACTCAAGAACTGATGCCTATATATTATAATTTGACCACATTGTTAGTACATGAAAGATAAACTTACGTGGAATCTGCAAGTGGTGACAATAAAGACTCGAGGGTTTGACCTTTTTTCCAGTTTGACCCCTTCTTCTGATAAAAAAAAATGCAGATTAATGTCTGCATGACATCATTATAATTTTGGAAGTGAAACAAAGTGAAAGCAGATAACAGAGAAGAAAATGATGATTCTCTCAGGATACGAAGAACAAGCAAGTTGTCATATTTAGAGTTTGTCAACATAACTCGTTCTAAGTATTTATTCAAACAACATCAACAATCATCATTCTTAGCTTAACTAGAGAATGTAGGACCCTGCATCATTTAAGAAGCTCCAGTATGAACTCAAAATTCTCTAATCTAGAAAGAAAATATTGTAAGCTTTCAAATATTTCATTTCCTAATGTTCAATAACAAGATTTCATATACTCTTTGCCCTGTGGATCCATCATTCCAAATCAAGCCTTTTAAGTCTGTTCCCGATGAGCTACAATATGACATATATCATTGATTCAATATCTTGTGGGTAAAGTGAGAGCCACTTTTAAGGTCAGGCCATTGTGTTTCTTCAACTTAATCATCCTAATAAGAACATACCAACAAAGTAAATAAAGAAACTAAAACGAAAACTTGTTCACCTCTGAATATCTTACCCTCATCTTACGAGATTTTTTCTCTCTTGGTATCTCCGTTTCTACCAAGCCAGAGGAGACTAGTTCCATCTTGAAGAAAGATGGATCCGAGTATCTTTTCAAGCAGGCTCCAGCACCAGCAGTATCAAACCTGAAGGAAAAAAGAGAAGTTTGTTCAACTTGCCAATTTTATTCCTTGCGCAGATAGTATATTACCCTTAATATCGTACTTATCCAGGGTGAATAACCGAGGTGGCCCACGGCATTCTTCATATGAGTCCAAGATAAAACGTGGCATATCTCCTTGAGTGATTAGGTTTTGATCCATTTGAATACTAGAGTGCCAATCAATACCTGCAGATGAGAAGATAAGGAACTACAATAAAGGTAAGAAATAGAGGCATGTAATGGACGATAATTTTAAGCTGATTCAATAACATAACGCCCTATTCTTTTTGGTGAATGGATTCTAGTATTTAATCTCTGGTTTGCAAGAGGAGTGTTTCAATCTCCTGTAAGAGGGATTTCGAGTCCTGGTCAATATTCCAGGTCGATCTAAAACTTGGTCCAATGGATATTTTCGATCTATTATCTCTGTGTATAAAAAATGGAGATCTTGTATGTTCTCATTAGGCATATGAATATTCCTTTTGCAAATTCTGAGACCTTCAACCTCAATGGCATAATCTTTCAGCATCTACAAAGCTGTGAATGAATAAAGTGCCATCCCCTAAAATAGGTTAAATTTCCTTCTTAGCCGCAAATTACACATTCTTATAGTATATAGTTAATTTCTTTTACAATATGGTATAAATCAGTTAATGCAGAAATCTTTACCTTATCGATCCATATATGATGCAACAAATTTATAGAAAAAATGGAGACTTAGACATTCGAACTTAGCCTTCTTAAAGAAAGAAAGTTGCATACTGACCATCATTGTAAGCAAAATTTGAATGACTAGACTGAGAGAAAATAGCCTTTTCAACTGATGGCAACTCTGCTTCAAGCTGCTGGACACGAAGCATCAATCCATGCCCTCTAGCAGCAGTTCCCATTACTTCTTCATGCAAGTCACGAAATATTTCTGCAGCGAACCTATTACAGAACATCAAGACAGCCACTCATGAACATGATCTACTGCTGCTATACAACTCGAGATAAGTTTAAAATTTCCATCATGAGGCAGAAGTTCATCTCAAGTTACTTGTGGAAAATATGACAGTAGGTATGTAACAACAGAGAAATGTTACCAACTTTAGAATTAACAAGCACGAAAACAAATTTCAAAAAATAAAAGATATAAAGCATCTTAAATAAAAACAATTCAAGAAAAAGAAAAAATAACGTAAATTGTTAATTTCTGCCAATATACACACTAGCAGTGATGAGATTTTATTCAAGTAAGATGCCTTAAACAAGGGAAGAACTACCCAGTACCTACTTTGATACACAAAAGCACTTCTGCATTACGAGAGTTGAGAACCATCCATTTAACGTTGATTCTGAGTGGTTAGGGTTAAACAGAAAGAAATAGTAAAGCAATGCCACTATAAGCAGAAGAGTGGATTCAAGCACAGGGGACAATGTGAAACTATCCAGATATCTTGGATGTTGGGATTATTACAATCCCGAACGGGCATGCATAAGTAAAAGCTTCCTTGGACAATTCACTAAAACGATATAAGGGAATCACCGATTAACATTATCACAAAGTGTAACCCCACTGATTTTCTGATGCTATATAGTAATCTTGATTAGCCAAAAACATTCCCGACACTAGTTTTCATTCAGCTGCTAATACAATTCCATTGCAAGGTCCTAAAGGTCATAGAGACCTATATTAACAGGATGAATGGCACTGCGGAAGTTCTTATGAGTTCCATCACATTTCTCTGTCAAGAAAGATCAATAAAACCAACCAAAAAGAAAAACATCCAAATCTAAACAACTTAGTCCATAGTATAAACCTATCTTAGAACTGCCAAGTCTAAATAGAAATTACCATATGAATTTCTCGAAGTTATTCCGTCTATCTATATCATGCAAAATCGGTGACCAATTCAGAAATGAGCAACAATTGCATACCCTCAACCTATAATTAATCAAGGACAATATTTGCCAGAAAGGATAAAAACTAGACATAAGGCAAGCAAACCCTAACCCATTCAACTAAATTACCAAGCTCATCAACTTAAAAAACCGACCAATACAAACCAACTCCCTCAAATCCTCCCCCCCCCCCAAAAAAACACACAATTCCACCACCATTCCGACACGCGAAAACATGAAGAAGCACAAGCAGATCCCCATTCCCCACGGGAAGCAAAAAAGAACAAAGGGACATACTCCGCGAGATCTCCGAGCTGGCGCAGCACGCCAACGAGGCCGGCCATGGCGACCCCTTCGAGGATGGCCTCGGGATCATCCTTGTCGGCGGTCCGGTGGAGCTCCGGATCCGCCAACCCGTACTCGTTCCTTATCTGGTACCGAACCGTTGGCATCTCGCCGGAATCGAAGCAGGAAGAGACCAGACGGAGCCCCCGACTGAGATCCAAAAAATTGGCGCCTTTCTTCCCTCCTTTAGCCTCCCCCGGCTTCCTTTGTCCCCTCCTCTTCCGCCACCGAGCTCCTTTCGCTCACACACGCACAGGCATACACTGCCCTTTCTTTTCTTAGCTCCTTTTGGTTTCCTTTTTGGAGGATTTCGAGTGACGCGTCTACGGTGGAAAAAGGCGAGACGGGCGACCCGCGCCAGCTCGCCCAGTAAAATTACTTCGAACGGGCCCCACCGCCCAATTTTGAGGTCGCTTAATACTCGAATCGCTGAGAATTAATATGACGGTGGGGCGCTTCCAATTCGCTTCGGATTGCGTGGCGGAAGGGGGCGCACGAGACTCGCCGCTTTCGACACGAGTCTGATCGGAGACGGCAGTGTGTACACGTCGCCGTGATCTCGTCGTCCAATGAGATGGCTGGGGATCGGGATCCTCATCAATAATTGCACGATCCGATCACAATTCTGTGTGATCTTTTTCCTTCGAGCAAGTATTTAAATCAGTTGCAAGACTTCGTGTGATCTCATCTCGGTAGGATCCACAATGGAGGTGAGGCACAAAGCTCTTTGTGTTCACCAGTCCTGTGTCTTGTCTTCCCTCAAGTTTCGCCGCTAACCATGCTGCTTCGAGGCTTCAGGCACTGGCCAGCTGAGACAGTGGGGGACTATTAGGTGCTTCCATGGCCTGGTCTTTCTCAGTCATCGTTGTCGCTTTGTCTATGCTGAGTGCCCACCATGAAGTCATCAGAACGGTGAGATGGCAATGTCTCATTCGAGTTGGACGCATGGCTGTGGCTTCGGAACTGAGGGAGCTCCGTCCTCTCTTTCCTTCTGATAGAAGCTTGCACTTAAATGAACGTAGCATCGGTAACTGTATCACCAGGTTTGTGGCTTGTGATATCACAGTAAGGAGATCCCCATCTGGATCTTGACTTCTCATCTGAGTGTGGCTTTTATTAGCGTGAGTTGACCTCGACATATCAAGCTCGCAGGGAAGGATGTATCCCAGCGCGCAGAAGGTGCAATGGTTGGTCGCCAAATCCAGAAGCCTCTCCCCACATGTACAGTTGGGTAGGTCTTCTCCTTTCTACGGTTGTGCTCGTAGCCCAATCAACTGCGTAGGAGTCTCTGGACATTTTCTAGTAGCAAGTTATAGTGTCTCGGAAGCCATGACTGCTGACTCCTTCAGACGGTGGCTGCACGGATCCTGTTTAGGACGAGAAGATGCATGGAGGAAATGGCTGCAGCTTTACTTACCAAGTTACGGAGAATGACATAATGAGGAAGCTTACTTCCATCCCAAAAAGAGAATTCACTCCTTTCCCTTACATTGGGATGTGTTACGGGAATTTTGATACGATTCAGATTTATCATGTAAATCTATGCACCTATCATATTTTTTAAAATAAACTATTACATATTTAAATTGGGTCGGCCTATACATCGAGGTAATTTAAACACGAACGTTTATTTACCAATGTACTTTTCGTAAATATTCCCATGCACCTCAAATACTCTTGGCTTCTCGAGGTATTAGATAATGATTAACTAAAAGACCTATAATACAAGTGATTGATAATTAGATAATATTATGCTTGATGATGCTTAACTTTTCGGGCTGACACGGGATCCTTCGGGAGTGTTTCATCTTTTTTGTAGAGCATGATCTCGTCCATTTAGCCCAGCTCTTCTTTGGTCATAGTTACCTCGTGCATGTCTATGGTTCAAAGCGATAGTATCTTGAATAGTGACTGACCATCCTTTATGACCTAAGCCAATGCTAATCTAGCAAGCGTGTTGACTTGGGCATTCTCTTCACAAGGAATCTATAAGATAATAAGCCAAGAGAAACTATAGGTTAGTTCTACACCTCAGTGAAGTACTTTGTCATGATTGTATCTCGAGTCTCGTAGTTCTCTTTCACTTCATAATTAACTATAAGTCATTGAACACTATCAAGTCCTAAACTTGAAGCTCTTGGCAAGTTGAAGCCTCGATAGAAGTGTTTAATACTTGATTTCATTGTTGAAGATTTTGAACTCAAATCGGGAGCTTGCTTCTACCCAAATCGAGAAAAAACCTACATGACTGGTTGAATAGTAATCACTTATACATCATGTGCTTGAAATATAGGCGAAACTTCCTTATCATCAAGACTCATGCAAAATACAAGCCTCTCGATAAGGAGATACCATTTCTTGGGTCTGCTCATAATGTGCTTAGACATAGTAAATGGACATTTGAACTCCTACGTTGTCCTATACTAATACCAAGTTGACAGTTATGTTAGTGATAGCGAGGTAGAGACTTAGAATTTTGCTCGAGGTAGAGAAAGTAATATGCGGCAACTTAGTAAGGTGGTCCTTCAACTTTTCAAATGCATCTTGGCACTCCTCGGTCTATAGAAAACTATTTAAGTTTTTTAATGTTTAAAAGAAAGATAAACACCTAGATTAAGATAAGAATTAACTAAGCACTACTAGCTGACCTATTAGCTGTTGAATCTTTCTTACCATCCAAGGTGGGTGTATATCTAATTTGACTCATACCTTCTTGGGGTTTGCATATAAATCTCTCCGATGCATGATGAAATCGAAAAACTTTCCCAAGTTAACTCTATTTGGTTAGATTGAGGTACATGTTGAACTTTTTTAAAGCTTGAAATATCTCAGTCAAATCCGTTAGATACGAGTTGGTTATCTTATTATTCATTATCATGTTATCCATATAAGCTTTAACATTTCTCTTGATCTAATATTTAAATATTTTATTCACCATCCTTTAGTATGTTGCTCTCGTATTTTTTAACTCGAAGGGTATAACTCAGTAATAATATGTGTCTTGGTCTATGATAAAAGAAATACATTCTTGGTCCTCAACACCATTTTAATTTGGTTATATATTGAGAATACATCCATAAAGGTGAGGACCTTGTAACCTAATGTAGTATCGACTAATTGATTAATCCAAGAAAGGGGTAGTTATCTTTGGATGTGCTTTGTTGAGATCAATATAATTGATACGCATCTTCCAATTTCAATTAGATTTGTTAATGAGTATAACATTAGTAAGCCATTAGAAGCATTGCACCTCGACACTAAACCATGCTCCTAATAGCTTATTTACCTCATCACTAATTGCCAGCTGGCAGTAAGGGAAAAACTTATGAGGCCTTTGCTTCACTGGTTGTGTTTTGGGGGAAATGTTTAAGTAATGTTGAACTACGTTGCGGCATATTTCTCAACAAACTTGCAAACACCTCATAATTCTTCCAAAGGAAGTTAATAAGCTGCACCCACCTCTCCATTAGGAAGGGATGTAGGGGTAGACTTAACCAAGTCTTGAGGTACATAATGATGCCTCGGGTTGGGCTTTCTTCAATAGGGAGATCGTTGTCGGGTAGCACTAGCGTAACTCTTTTGTGTTACTTTTCAACTCTTCGATACTAGCCCTCATCAAGAACTTCAACATCATGTGGTAAGTCAACATCACTTCCTACGGTCTGTTTAGTGTAGGTCAACTTAAGATCGTGTTATACGTTGAGGGAATATCCATCACCATGAACTTAACTATATTGTTTTGGAGTATGGCTCATCTTCGAATGTGACATGTAGGTTCACAGTCTTGAGGGGCAAGATGTAGTTATCAGTGAACCTTGTCAGTAAAGAAATCATTGAGGCAAGATTATCAATTGACAGCCTAAGTTTTTGGAAAGTATCAAAGTAGAGAATATTAACATAGCTACCTGCATCGATCATGACCCTCTTCACTCTAACGTTGATCATCCTCACAAAGACCACTAAGGCATCACTATGGTTTAAGTTGAGGTACTTTGTCTCTTCCTCTTTAAAGGTTATTTTTAGGTTACCCTCCATCCTCGAGCGCTTTTCAATGACAACTCAAGCATAAGCATTACTGGTCGAGGAGCTATTCCCTCTCCCCCAAAATATGGGTCTACTAATGATGACATCAATATGCCTCTCCATTGGCCCTTGCGATGAGGGCGAGGGTTCTCGATGCTTTCAAACAAATCACTTGAGGTATCTCCGATGTATGAGCTCTTCAATCTGTTCCTTTAAGTCATGAGAATCTTTAGTATCGTGGCCATGATCTCAATTGAACTAATAGTACTTAAACCTATCTCTTTTCATCAACGAGGTCTTCATTGGGTGAGGATCCCATAAGAGCCCCTTCTTTTTTATTTGGAAAATAACTATATTTCTACTTATATTTAGGGGGGTCAGCTTGGACCTTAGGCAGGGTAGCTTAGATTATTTATTTCTTCTCTATTGAGGTGACTTTGGGACCAGGATTGATTATGTTTGCTCTTGTTTCAACCTCTTACATGACTCCTAATACTTACTCGAGATTATTACCTCGATGGTAATGCATTTATTGACTTTTTGAAGTATCTCGAGTATAATCATCAATGATCAAAAGAAATGAGTGACCTTGAGCTCCATCATAAACGTCTATATTATGAGTAATAGATGAGCATCTGCTACGCATCGGATCTTATTTGTGAATCGAGCAACAAAGTCTACAAACGTTTCTTCCTCCCCTTGCTTGAGTCCAAGGAGTGTTGCCACTAAATGCCAAGGGTGTACTCTGCTAGGGAAGTAAAGTTTGAACTCTCTAGCCAACTAGGTGAAAGAGCAGATGGAAAGTGGCTTCAAGAGAGCATATAATTCTCATGCTAGGCTTCACAATAAGTCCATCTATTACAATTTGAACTCTCCTTCAAACATTAGTCCAACATTAGTCCATCTATTGCAGTTGGCTTTACAGTAAGTCCTCAATCGAGTATGGGTCTCAAATTTAGGTAAGACATACTGAGAGTGATGTAGTTCACTGAATTCTACAATTTAGGATCGAAGTGCCCCCTCGACCGATAATTCAAAAGTCTTGGTTGCTCTTAGTATGTTGGCTTCGTGTCGAGTCAGGGAACCTCGACAAGTTCTAGTGGCGATGGAGCGAGGATAGTGAGTGAGTTGGTGGCATCGCTTGTTGGGCCAACTTGGGTAAAAGCAGAGTGATGGCCTATATGATACATGTTAACGTACACACTTGCTAAATAAGATTTAATAGCACTTCGATAGGGATGACTGGGTGGCTCAGGGCCATCTTTGGTCATTGAATAAATACTAGTATTTTATCAGTGTCTATACCGAGATAGATACACTGATGTGCAGAAATGGTGGCGGTTGCCTCATTGGGTGAAAGTAATGTGTGTCAGAGACAAAGCCTCTTCGCTTGAGTGTTGATTGAGAGAGTCAATGAGTGGATATTCATGCAACATCGGATCCTCCTTCTAACACTAGAAAATATTATTGGAAAATATCATTGATGTCCTGATTAGTTTGATGCAGTTCAGACCTGTATACGTAGGGATGGCTGAAGTACCTCTAAGGTGAAAACGTCGAGCTTCTGATGTGTCACCTATACGAAGACCGAGGTTGAGAAAGATTTTCCAACCGACCTAGTCTCTTCAATGCCCAAGTTAGCAATATAAGGAAGGTGAGTATACTAATGAGAAGTAAAAAGTGAACCCTACAACTATACTAAAAATAAGCTTTTATACTTGGTTGTAAAAGGATAGAATATTCTATGAGGAGGTAGCCCTCAACTACCTTTAGTAACATCCACTTGGTATTTTCTCAACGTAGGAAACGTGAGCGAAGACAACCTACACCTACCTACCTTGGACCCTTGTCCACATGAGCAGACTAGTAGATGACACCTTTTGTCTCCATATAGTTTTGACGTCATGCAAAAGTACCTACCTACCTTGGACCCTTGTCCACATGGGCAGACTAGTAGATGACAACTTTTGTCTCCTTCTAGTTTGGACGTCATGCAAAAGTCATGTGTCGGATGATGATTGATCAATAATATTCTCCCTATTAGGATGAGGGATCTAAACTTTCTCCTTGAAATAAGGGATTGTGAAAAAAATATATAAAAAAGATAAAATTCGTAATATGGGATTGTAAATATTTTATTATTTTTAAAATATATTATCGATAATAAGTTATTGTGAAAATAAAGATTATAAATAGTAAATTTCATATAGATACTCCTTTGAATAGAAAGACAAAACGAAGCCTATTTGATATAACATATTTTGGCATCCACCCCAAACGACACGTTGGCTGCCAAAGCAGACTCGGTGTGGAGTCCCTAAGCCGATGTGTTGTGCCAACTTAGCACCATGAGTCTGAAGTTGGCTAGCCGCCTATGGCGGGAGGTAGCACCTCATACCGAGCCACATAGGAAGCGGGAGGCAGCACTAAATGAGACCCAACCAGGCAAATCAAACAGCACCCACACCCAACGTACGGGTCGACTGCCTATGGCGGGCATTAAACACCTACTTATGATGATGATCGAGGATCATTAAAGCAACTACGTACGCCCAGGAACATTTATAAAAAGCAACCCCCAAGAACAATGCCGAGGGTCAAGAAAAAAATATTGGTATATTCTCCCTAACTCTCAAAAACCCCCCAAAAATCTTCGCTAACTTACTCATCAAATGGGTCGAGTCGAAAATCCCTTCCGATGTCGACTTGTGTGCAGAAACTCGACGAATGATGAGAAGAGTCACATTCAACCTCCATCCGTGGGAACCTAAGTCATAGCCCTTTAACTCGATTCTAAGTCAATACACTCTAGTTCAGAGATTAAACGGATAACCTTACATAGTGAGATATACCAAGTCATACTGACACCTTGTCCACGACATAAAGGTGCAAAACACCGTTAAAAGAAGACCAAGGGCTTTATAGATTCTCCTCTCGTGAGGGGAACCTCTCTTAAGGGATAAATTCTAAAGAGTTGGAACATAGACAGCTTTCATTTCTATTTTATTATAAGCCCAGCCTTTTCTTACATTTGGAGCTTGTTAAGTTCGTGCCACAAAATGACACCCTTTGACTTGCTATCAGAGCGCATTGCCAGTCAAACCCCTGACACCTCCTCTATATCTACTTTGTGTAAATCTCGAAAGACCAGTATGGGAATTAGGCAAACGAGTGATATTTATTTTTCGAACATAAAATTTTGCGGAATTAAGTACCCATATAAAACCTAAAAGCTTGCTCAATATGGGATATGAGATTGCATCATCCAGCAACTTTATCATGGTCAAAAGCAAGTCATAAGACTCTATCCTTAAAAGTAAAATAAAATATCATAAATTAAAAGAAAAAAAATCACGTTTTCTTCGTGAAGCTGCTACTTGGCACTCTCCAAAAGCTGACATGCAAACACCTTCCCTGTCATCTTCCTCGTGATAACAATTATGGACAAATCATCACTGAGGCAGCTATGCTTCCACCAACTATAATAACGATTAAAATTGTTCGACTGCTTTCTGATGCAATCAATCCATCCAAACACTGCCATCATTGTTATGCTAATTTTTTTCTTTCTCTCCCTTGAAGTGTTCGATCTAACTTAACACTGTCAAAGCAAGGTGAATTACGGGGATTAATCGATTTTAGGGAATATAATCAAGGATTTGTTTTCAAGTTAAGTTCGAAAGATGAATCAGGAAGGATAAGTCATCGCAAGATGTTCCTCTCTCGAATCTTATCACTTGATTCCCATGTCGCCTCGGTGAACTATCATCAGCTACTAACTCACCAAGTTTGTCCTTTCCAACCCCAAAAAAACTAGTACAGCTCTCTTCCTTCTCGCCTTGAGGTGGAAAGGACCGTACACCACTGGAAAGAGTGGGTGCGAAGCAAAGGAATCGACGTCTTCAGCTGCTAGAGAAATCATCACCCTCGTTAACCTTCACACAACTTCATCTGAAGAGAAGGTTACGTTAAGTACCACGGATGGGCTGGCAAACGCTGCACCAACCTTCTCTGTGTAGTACTGGTCCTATCTCGGGCCATCAATTCTCATGGCTGTCATTTTTCTGCCACCATTCCTTCTTCAGAGCCTTCTCGGTTTGACAACTCAAAATGGAGATCTGTGGAAGGGGAGGACACGAGGGAGGTACCATGTTTTGTCGTATCAAGACATGTAGGACAGCTTTTGACATTGGTAATCGAGGTTAAACATGGCGATGCTGTGTTCTGAGAAGTTGCACACCTCCGGAAAATTACATGGCGTTCCTTCTTTCTGTTCTGCTACATTGTTAAGATCTTTTAGAGGCCCGAAAGTTTAGGCAATGAACCAAACAAATGACAACAGTGTTAGGTAGTGTAGCACTCCAATGTGCTAATCCAATCCGGCCCTGTGAAAAGCTCATCCAACTTTTGGTTCGAAGCAAGTTTGGGACCTACGGTTGTGGTTGGGTTGGTGCCCTCCATGTTCTTGATGACTGTATACCCAATCAAAGCATATGAACATGAATAATGGGGGGTTGAGTTCTAATTCTCTATAAATCAAGCTGTCGATGGCGTCTCCCATGGCAGAGATCTTTGCGAGTTCTTCGGAGAATTAGGAGGAAGGTGATCTTGTGCAGGATGGAGAAGCAGGGTACGTGCATTACTCGCTAGCATCTAGTCTTCTTCACCTGGTAAACTGATGGCCAGTTCTTCATGTGCCCATCTTCTCCATCATGCCCATCTCACCTATTCTGAAGCTTACGCTGGTGTTGTCAGAGATCTTCTTCCCAAGTAAGTGATCATTTCATGCACACTTAAGTCTCGCATTTCCCTTCTCTTCATATCTTGCTGTTTCTTTTGTGTGTGTGACTTCGACATCCATGTCGTTCTCCAACATATTCTTCTACGGAGAGACCGAGTGATTCACATTCGAACTATTTCCTTCTCATTTCAAAAGGCTTTCAAGGCCATCGTAAATCCCTAAACAGATGAGCCTCAAAGTCAACCAACCTTCATCATTTGTTCGTGCATAGGGTTCAAGGCTTCTTAGATTCACTTCTGGAACGAAGTAAAACCCATCGTCAAAAGGCTTCTCCATCACCTGCTTTGTGACGGCCCACCTGCAAACATAGTCTAAGCAGCCACGGATTTGTGCACCCACAGAACAAGCCTACGTTTGACAAACGCGCAGTTTGAACGTTGACTAAACACGGGTCGTTTTAGAAAGGCCGCCGCGCCCCCTTTTGTTGACCGCAGCCAAGTCGAAGACTTCTTTATGCAGTAGTGCCCAGGAGACTATGATGGTTGAGAACGAAGTCTTCGTCATCTCGCTGGTACACGAAAGCACCCTTCGCTTTGATCTCATCCATCGGAACTGTTCTTCACCGCAGGCAGCCAAAAAGATAGGCGAACAAAACTTGGGCGATCAGTGCACTAAGGAATAATTTTTATCTAGAAGTGTCCTTCCCTGAGCATGTCATTGTCCCTCGGACTACCATTACATGGTTGATAGGGTTTCAGCGAATCTTCCTAATTTCGAATTAAAATTTATTTAAAAATAAAAAGAAAAAAAATCAATGAAATCACTAATTTCGTTATACTTAATTTTATAATAGAGTGTATTCAAATCATCTCAGACTTCAATCATGAAAGGAAAATACGAGGTAAATAATTAGTATATTATTTTTCTATTTTAGATTATTTTATAATAGAAGATGAACCGGTTCGATAAAATCGATTCAGGAGTTTTTCGGTATTTGAGTAGATTAGGACGTCCATTCAAATAAAAATTAATTATGGACGATTTTTCTAGGTTAAGTATCCATAAATATTCATAATTAATTGATTAATTATTTTATTAATTACCCTATCATTTCTCTATTTTTGATTATTTATAAATACTTAAAGCCCGATTCAGTAGAAGTTGAACCGATTCGATTCGTTTACAGGTTCGATTAATCGATTTAGGAGCTTTTTTGGTGTTAATTATGGGCGATTTTTATAGGTTAATGATCCATGGAAATTATTTTATTTAAGTAATTTGCGTGCAAATCGTCTGTATCATTCCTACTTTTTATCTCAGCCGCCCATTCATTTTCTGTTACGAGCGAGCAGTTACATCTCATCTGGCCAAGCCGAGAAAAGCTGTATGGGTTGGAATATAAGGTTAATATGGGAATTCCACAGCGAAAGGCGGTGTGTGATTACCGGTAATATCCAAAACATACGCGACGAGGTAACAAAGGTTTTCTTTCCTTCCATTTATTTTCTTCCCTCTTGCGGGTTCGGATGACGGTGAGGAATTTTCCTTCTCCTCGTATTATATTATCTCTTCCGCAAGTCTTCGCCTCTCTCTCTCTCCCTTCTATTCTCTCGTCTTGGGGAAACCCCAAAGTCTCGAGCCGAGATGTTGTCCTTCTCCTCCTCCTCCTCGTCGGCGACCGGCCGAGTCGAGAAGGCGACGTCCCATCTGTTGATCGGGCCCGATTGGACGATGAACATGGATATCTGCGACAACATCAACAACGATCAGTGGTGAGCGCTCTCAACCGGATGAGGGTCGTGGTTCTTGGTTGGTTTCTTGAGTTGAAATCTGTGCCTCTTCTTCTTGATCTTTTTCCCTGATATTTTCTTGGGCTAGAATTTCATGCCGGTCAATTAGTTCCCTAAGAATTTCCGTTGCTTCTCGTTTTCTTGGAAACCGATGCTTCCTGGAGGTATCATCATAGAGATGTTGAGGATTGTTTATGAATCGCTGGATGATAGAGCTGCTCCTGGAGGTATCTTGATCTCCATCGTGTTTCTTCCACGAGTTTGTAAGCTGGTTGGTTATTGCATACGGGCTATCATTTGCTTTAACCGAACGCGAGCAAGCCGTGTGTTTCAGTTATGAATTAACTATCTCATTTTATAATCCCATGTTCCGGCTCATGTTAAGCATATGTTATCGTTCGTATCTCTGTTTGATTCAACAGTGTAAATCTTCCTACCAAACGACTATTTCTAGAACTAGTATTTTAAGGATTAATTACTTCGCATCCCGAACCAACAGTCGTGAACAAATTAATTGTGGACTGGCTAGACTCTCATCAAGTAGTTCAGGTATTTTTTTTTTTTTTGCACACGAGGCAATGAATTGCATTCTGTTGATATAGTTATATATATGAATTTAGTGAAGTATTAGGATCTTGAATGTTACCTTCTGAGTGAGAACCCCCTAAAAAAAAGTAGCAAAGTCAGGGTCCTTCATAGGGCTTGTTCGCTTTAAAGAACGTCGACAAAAGACGAGAGAAATTTCATCCCTGCAAGGGAAGGCCTAAATGTTGATGTGGAAAAAATCTACTGACCGCACATCCCTTTGCCATTGATATTCTTTGACGTGTCACTAAAGTTAATAGGTGAAATTGATTAAGCATGTCAAGAATTTTCTCACATTGTCTTTAGTTTTAGAGAGATTTTTTTCAGTACAACTTATTAGTTAGTAGCTCGATCTTGGGACTAAGATGATAGATCAATAGGAGCACAAAGATTTGCTTGAAAATACATAATGGAAGAAAATATTTGGGTTGCCAAGTTTTGAGAATATATATTGTAGTTAAATAAGTACTGCGATGGAGGTGTTAAAAATGGATAACTTTTATATCAATATAACCTAGCTAAGATCTCAATCTATATTTTCAGGATATTGTTCTTAATTTTGTTTTCATGATAAGTACAAAACTAGAAGCTACGAAATGGGTTTAGTTCTTGATTGACATCAGCATGACAGTGACATGAGGCAGCATTAGATATTTAGATAATCCAGTTATCAAAATGTATATAATCATGGGCGTGGTGACTTTTTCCTCAAGTTTAGCAGGGGAACAATAATTACCATGGGGAGTAGTGCCAATTTGAGCCCAAAAGAATTTCTACTTTTAGCATAGCAGAGGGATTCACTGCCAGATTTATTTGCTGGGGTTTTATTTTGTTTTCATGACAAGTACAAAATTAAAAGCTAAGAAATGGGTTTAATTCTTGAATGACATCAGCATGGTGGTGAGATGAGGCAAGATTAAATTTCCTGTTATCAAGATGTATATGATCACGGGTGTAGTGATTTTTCCTGCTCAAGTTTAGCAGGGGAATGATAATTACTGTGGGGAGTAGTGCCAACTTGAGCCCAAAAGAATTTATACTTTTAGCATAGCATAGGGATTCACTGCCTGATTTATTTACTGGGGTTTTCTCTAAACCCTTGAAAACCATGATCAGGTTACCTTTTCCCATTTTGCCATAATTTTCCATCTTGGATCATTGTGGTATGGTATCCGGAGTGATGAAATGGGATTTGATTTCGTTGAAAGGGTGATCTGCTGCATTAGACTTCAACCACTATTCAATGTCTTTGCATGTCTTAGATATGAACCAACTAGAAATAAATAATCTCCATGCCATTCATACTCCAAAAACTTTAAATCATAAAATAGTAAAAGAAAAAAATTGGGTTTATAGTATCCTTTCCTTTGTTAATATATAAGTACGACACAAGATATGATGTGACACACATCGTTCTTGAACTAGGCTAGAAGAACTTATCCTCAACCATAACAATGATTTCATTCCTACCAAAAATGAGCTGCAGCCCCTCTTGCATGCATGCAGAAGCAATATAAAAATGAACTTGTCATGGATGGAAAAATTTGCGTCATTTCATATATAAGACTAAATCTCTTATGTAATGTAGCAAGCATCCATGGTAAGTGACTAAATATGCATCAAATGCCAAACCAACAAATCTTGCTCCACACATACCATGAACCAAGATTTATCTTCTACTCGAGTCATGAGATTCTAACATTGTTGTATTTCTCATAAGTCACTCATCAAATAGAGAAAGATGAGATGTCTTGGTTGGAGTAGATGAAGGAACAGCTTCATCTTGGAGTAGATCAAGGAACAGATGAATATCTATGTGCTTGTTGTAATTAACTAGTGAAAGTGAGAAATAAGTTTTTGCTAGTTCTGAGGGCCCAAAATTCTTCAACTATGAATTGGTTTCCTACTAGCTACAAAAGTGTCGGTTTAGTAAATCCCATTTAGATAGCATTTAAAAGAATTTTCACTTTCTGGCTGCCATGTGCGTTGAAACTATTTTCACAAGATAGGTTGTGTCGACTTTACCATACACCAATGTCCCGGATATCACTGACACTAGATCATGTATTGTTGGTATGACATACCATCCTAGATAGTTATGGTATATAAACAAAGATGAGGCAGCCAATTTGTTCATTTGGTTTTTATAATCTTTTGTTTAGGTAGAATTTTTTTTGTTTTGAAAATATGAACCACATTGTCCGAGTTTACGTTATTATTATATATAAGAATTTTAAGCTATCCAGACTAGCTATGATTGGGTGTGGAATTTGTTGTGGAACAGTAATAGCATGCTAAAAGATGAGGATAATTAAGGCCTTATACTTTTGTGGAGAAATTTCTTTTTCCTCGATTGGGGAGAAAATTTTTCTTTCTTCTGTTGTGGAGAAATTAACTAGTATACCATTTACATTATTTCTTCGAGGATCAAGGCCTTATGCTTTTATGGAGAAATTAACTAGTATATGATTAAAGTTATTTCTTCTTGGTTATGCTTCTGAAGATGTTACCAGCATTCTTTTCATGACTCCTTTTCTCTATTTTCTTTCAGATTCTAGGTTACAGGCTTTTATTGTTGACAGTATTTTTTCCATGATATACACAACTGGAATTCTTATCACTTATTGTGGTCCAGACTATGTTACCTAGGGTCCTAAAACATTATCTAGTAATTGGTAAGTTATTATGAAAGGTAGCTTATGTAATAAAAAACATGTTAGTTTCTTTATCTTACTTTATTGCACAATCTTTTCACTCACTCATGTCTATTAATGGATTTCATTCAACGGAAGTACCTCAGCGCCCCAAACCATCTTAAGTTTCTCTCATTAATCAAATGATTTTAATCTCTCAGGAGCTTGTATTCTACTTGTTTTATGGAATGATGATAATCTTTTAGGCAAATACATTTCCTAGGGATCAATGACCTTATTTTTTTTCTTAATTTATAGATCACATTGCAGTTTCTGTAGCTCCCTTTGTCCAACCTCCAAACAATTACATTGTTAAATGGAAATGCAGAAGCAGAAGATACTTGCATGATAGTTCCAAGGAACATGTTTTTAGTTTGGACATTTTATCAGCTGAATCTTGCTGATCCTCCTCACAATCTGACAGTTACATACAGTTGACAGAAATAAGAGTAACCCAACTGTTATGAGCTAAAGTTAGCTTAATTGCACTACTGCTGGATGTCTTCTTGTCTAGTCGCTAAATATAATAATAGAACAACCAACAGTATGGCAGTGAGAATTTTCAGTTAAGGTAAATTGAGTCATTTTTTTTAATTGTGCCATGGAATGCAGTGCCCTTAAGTTTCAAATTTCAATCATCTTTTGAATGGCCATTTCTTTGTGTGTTTATGAAATTTGGTGCCTTTGTAGTATGTGCATGCTACAAACATGTTTATAGTTAGAACTACCATTATTATTATGTTGACAGAAGAAATTTTAAAGTTTGGAAATTTTCATAATATTAGTTCATTGATTTACCTTAAATGAATGTTCCTCGCCTGTTATTTTTATTGTTTTGAAAATGCCTGGAAACTGTTACTGAAAATTCATGTGATTTCTTGAGTCAGGCAGGCAAAGGAAGTGCTCAAAGCAGTTAAGAAGCGTTTGCAGAACAAAAATTCAAAGGTTCAATTCCTTGCTTTGACGGTATGTGCCAAGCTGGCTAAATCTAGATACAAGCTCTATTGAATTTTGGTATATTTCTGAGAATGCAGTCTCAGTTGAGCAGTTAGTAATTCTAGAATCAACAAATTCAAACAATCTGCCGAAGGCAATGTATTTAATGCAGAAACTTGATCATAATCTGACAACTATATTCAGATTGTAATAAACTTCATGTTGCTGACAAGTAGTAAAATGAAAGGCAGTTTGAGCTTTATATCCTTTATTGCTATGATATAAACAAAAGCATTATAGAAGTTTATATAGTGTAACTTTTGATGCTGGAACTTCTTTTAGTAACAAATGGCACTCTTGCAGCTTCTGGAGACAATAATAAAGAACTGTGGTGAGTATGTACATTTTCAGGTTGCTGAATGCAAAATTCTACAAGAAATGGTCAAAATTGTTAGAAAAAAGGTCAGTGCAACTTTCTCTTCGATTTAGTTCTATGTTCATGCATGACTGTTGTGGTACTGTTAACCAGAGATATTTTGGTTCAACCAAAATTTTATGTTCATTCCTTCTCTTTACTACATTCTGTGCTTTGAACATACATGGCAAATACCTAGTGGAGATAAAGCAGTCATTAATGAGGTCTGTGGGAGAAATCAAGCTAGATAGGGAAAAATTGTGTTATATGGTGACACTTCATCTACTGCTGAGAGGGTTTTCACCCTGTATGCAACGTTTTAGATTAATGGTAGCAAACAAACTCCCAGTATTTCTTTAGTATGTGGTTGGTGTGATGTTCAACAACTACCTTATGGATACAAATCACGTTGGTAGTTCTCTGTATATACATTCTGTGATCTATGCCTGTCATACTTCTTTCAATACTAATTTAATTTTTTGGAAGCCCTAACAGACAGATATGCAAGTACGGGATAAAATTTTGGTACTGCTGGATTCTTGGCAAGAAGCATTTGGTGGACCTGGTGGGAAATATCCACAATATTATTACGCATACATTGAACTAAAGGTATGAACCATCTATTAATTATTTTGGTAATGTCTTAGAAAGGTTATTTTTGTTCCTAATATCCCATTCCCTATTTTGGTCATGTGTTATAACTTTATGTTTTTCTTCCTCTTTTTAACTATTTTTTATTGAATATAACATGACAAAATAATATGTTAACTAGTTTTATTAAACGGGCATGAAAGTTATAAAAGGAAGGGTCTATATACCATCACGAGGCAACTCTTAGTGTGTACACTGCAAAGGTGCTTTCTGTGTGGTCCCTGTAAACATAGACTATTGGTGCCTATACACCGGAGAATAGTCAGCTAATATTGAAGTTAAGTTGGCTGTTTTGTCAGTCATTTGTTGAGTTATAAAGTCGGCTACATCCTCATAGCTGTAGTATACAATAGTCAAATTTTGTTCTAGTCCTGTGTTTCAAAATTCCATTCATACTGATGACGAGCTTCATGTTGTCAAGCAAAATGATCTGAAGCAACATGGTATTACTCCTTGATCTGGGCTCATTGTTCTTTATTTTGCTGCAACTACTTAATTGTGCCTGTCAGAGATCTATTTTTGAACATTTAATAGACAATCTTCTCTTGATTGCATGCTTATATGTAGTATGATATTGCATCTGATGCTCTCTTGAAGATGAAATCAGAAATGGAGTAGCTACTGCTAATATCTAATGTCAACCATCCAGACCTAGACCACTGAATGGATTACTTGGTCTGGATAAAATTAAAGCCCATGTTGGCATTAACCATGTCTAGTGTGGAAATTCTTATTTCTTTATGAATAAAAAGGTCTGTAAAATTTATTTTGCAGAGATTTGGAATACTATTCCCGCAACGGCCAGCAAACACTCCACCAATACTTACTCCTCCAGTTACACACTTGGCATTAACATCAGGACATAGCCAAGTAGGGTATGGTGTTCCAAGCATTACTTCTACGAGACTTGATGAAACAATGGCAACTGACATAGGAAATCTGAGGTGAGTTCATTGGCATAGTACATTATGACTTTCTCATTAACTTGTAGTGCGCTACTTTTGATCCTTGTTGCTTTCAAACCTTCTGTTCAGTTTATCAGACTTCAGTCACATTCGTGATGTTATGGGGCTATTGAAGGAGATGCTGCAGGCTGTGAACCCTAATGATCAAGGGGTAGGTGTTAACTTGTTCTCTGTTTGTCAGTTTGTATTGTTGGGTATTTCTGGGTAAGATATCTGTGTATGTGTGTGCGCGTGTGCATGTGTACATATGCATGTATTATTAGTTTTGGGGGTATCCTATGGATAATTTCTGGGTAAGATATCTGTGTCAATGGGACATATGACTGCAGTTCAAACCTGTTTTGTACAATGATCTTACGCATGTATTTGCAGGCCATAAAAGATGAATTGATCGTAGATCTTGTGAACCAATGTCGGACCAACCAAAAAAAGCTTATGCAGCTAGTCAGCTCCACTGGGTAAGCCTTATTTCCGCACATATGTGATAAAAATGTTATTGCATTTGTCAACTACTCAAGTAAGCATTGAAGACTTGCATCAAGTCATAGATTCCCATACATACTGACCTAATACTGTACTAGTGGTAGCAAATGACAAACAGAGACCTTAAAATTCCACATATGCAATTTGCTGTACCTGCCTCAGCAAAGTACTTGCATCGTTTTAATTTAGTGGAAACCCGTAGGATACCGTGTGTTGGAAGAGTTGTGCTGTAAAATGTGATACTTGTGTGGCTGTCTCACTTGTCATGATTGCAGGGATGAAAAGCTTTTAGGAGAAGCTCTTGAACTGAATGATAACTTGCAAAGTGTGCTTGCGAAGCATGAAGCCATAGCCTCTGGATCTCCTCTGCTTCACGAGCAACCAAAATCCCTTTCGCAGGCGAAGGAGCCGATCAAGCATCCTGTTGCAAGCAGCAGCCGGGTTGAAGACGAAGACGAAGATGATGAATTTGCACAATTGGCTCGCAGGTTTTGGAGTCGAACCATGACACTTTCTCTTCATTTAGCCAAATTGTATTGTGTTACTGATCAAAGACGTACTGTGTTATCGGAGTGCAGGAACTCGAATTTTAAGCAAGCTACATCAGTTGAGTCACCAAATCGGAGTGATGTGACTAGGGTCACCGAGTCAAGTACCTCATCCTCCGCCATGAGCAATGCCTTGGTTCCGCTTGATCCCCCTCCTCCCCCTCCTGTTAAGACCCAAAAAGAGCCAGAGCAGGACATGATTGATCTTCTGAGCATCACATTGTCGACGTACCCATCATCACCTCAGACAGCAGTAACACCTCCATCAGCTTCAAGTCAGCAAGGGTACGCTCCCCACGACAGTTATGTTGCACCTTGGGCGCAGCGAGCACTTCCTGCGCCTCAGCCTTCCCCATCGTGGGCTGCCACAGATGCTACCCCGAGTACCTTTTCGTCAGCCCCATCCTCTGGTGCCGATACTCATGCTGCTTACTTGCCTGCTTATTCTCCTACGCCTCTACAGCAGTACAACTCCTTTGGCTCTAGGATCAATGGTACCACCACCACCAGTGTTGCCGCCAGGGAAACACCGGTGAATTTAATTCCCAGACACAGTGGGACTACAACTTCTGCAAAACCATACGTTCTTCCTAACAGATTATTTGAAGATTTGATAGATTTGAGAAGCACCAGTAGCGGACAAAAGACGGGTGCAGCATCAAATCAACCTATGATCGGTGGGAAGAAATAAGGTCTCCTCATGCATTGTTCATTGCCTTGGTACTACGTTTCCTTTCCTCATAGGTGTCCGGATATATATATGTATATATATCCCATGTATATCTTTTTGTTGATTCTCTTTTCTGCAATTGAATTGGGTCTCTGGAGCTGAAACACATTTATGTACAAAAATAATCATACTAAGATAAACTTGAGATTGGCAAAATCGTTTGTTGGCACTTCGACTTTCTTCTTTTTTGTTTACTTGAGCTTGAGAAAGAATTCCATTGTTCATAGGGGTGAGCAGTGGTCGCTCGTCAGCGTTACACAAAAATTCATTACAGTGTAATTACCCTTTAGATCTTTTAAGCATTTCAATTTTTAGATTTAAAAAAATTATATTAAAAGTTTTATAATTATAAAAAAATTATTTACTTTTATTTATTTAAATATTATCAGTTTTACCGACGAAAAATATAACAAGAAAACGTTAGACAAAAAAATGATTTCCTATTTAAACATAGCAAAATTGAATGAAGCAAACAGATAACACGTACAAGAAAACGTTAGACAAAAAAATAATTTCCTATTTAAACATAGCAAAATTGAATGAAGCAAACAGAACGTGGCATGAAGACATGAAATTTTTAAACACCCAATATCACAAACCCAGCCCCAAGAACCACCTGTACTTAATTTATCATATGAAAATTATGCACTTTTACAAACTGAGCAAAGGAAAAGAAAATAAATAAAAAAGAGAACCATTCAAATAAAGAAATTATTTACATCTTTTTACCTAGGTATGATTATTTGTGGGAGCCTCCAGCAGCGATGCAGGAATTCGGGTGAGGTGTGACCCTCTCAGGAGGAGGCTAATGAACGCTGTAAGATACAAATTTCACATGCAGGGCCAGAGGTTTATGTACCCAAAATCTGATGATCTGTAGTATAGCTGCAGTTATCAGCTCACTCAGTTCGTCTGGTTGCCAGATCCATGTTCCTTGGTTAGATGTCAAATGTTCTAAATGAAAACCCACAGCATACGGTTATCTTGCTTGGTAGCTGTCATCTGCATAAATGGAAACACAGGCATCGGCTGCACCAGCAGCAAGGAGTACTTTGTATGGATGGAAAGTGAGGCAGCTAACAGAACCAATTCTCTGAGCCATAAATGTAGGATAGTATCTGATGATGCTTAGTTGCTCTCCTCTTAGGCTGAAGACCTTAACTATCTGCTTGGCTGAGCCACTTGCAATGATTGGAGCATGGCGATGAATTGCCAATGCAGTAAGAGAGCCCCTATGTGCATCGATAGTGAGATATGGCTCAGTTTGATTTCTTATATCCAAAAATTGTATATCCCCAGCTTGAGATGCACTGACAATCTGCACATGAACAAATTAACATGGACTGAAGCATTTAACCCATATTAATTGATTGAGATAACTTCACCAAATTAGGTTATCCAACTAAGATCAATAATTCAGATTGAAAAATGCAAAGGATCATTTACAAAGTTCAAGATAGAAAACTTTCTGACCTTGGTCGGATCAATTCCAGGTTGAAAACCAATCCCAACAACTCTTTCCACCCTTTGGGTATGTGGTCTAGCAGTGCAAACAGGCCTACAAGACCAGACGAGAGTATACCATCAAAAGAAATCACAAAGGATTCTCTGACGGTGCATGCAAACAAGAATGCCTTCCTTGGCTCATCATATACATGTAAAACATTAAGTTGTCTAAAGAGTAACTGGCTGAAAAATGCAAGATGATCTAATAGCAGAAAAGCAACCAGGCCTGTAGTCATGAATGAGTATTTGTGCTTCTTACATTTCAGGAGCGCGAATGTCAAATATTCTTACTGAACCATCAACAAAGCCAGCTGCTAAATGACCCCAGTGGACTTGGGAAGCAGACTGCAAGATAGAATAGACTCAGACATTGCCAAACAAACAATGGTTGGAACAAATGCAGAAGGACAAATGTAAAAAAATCAAAGTAACATGCACGAAGAGTTAAAATATCTCCAGAGTTCACACAATAAATACCGGATTATACATTGCAAAAACCCAACTTTTGTAGCTCTAAAAAGCTCTAGAACAAGAAAAAGTTGTACCAAAAGAACAGACATGAAAGTTAGATTCTATTCATAACTAAAATTTAAAGGACAAAAAATTACAGATTTATAGGTGACTACGTTAGTTTTCTCTATCACAAATGTATTAGCATGAAACATGAATGTTGGAATTATTTAATACTTTTTGATGTAACCTATTAGTAGCTTGAGTATATAATATAATAGTTATAATGTACATGGTGGCAGTGATTCATGACTCAAAAGGTAAAGAATCTAAAAACAAGGAGAAATAGATTGTTAGTCACAGTAAAATATTTGGGTGCAAAAAAAGATGAGGGAATATGGGGGAGAGTGGTGCAATTCAAAATATAGTGATGTTACAAATGTGATATTTTAATGACAGAAAGGAGTAACACTGACAACTAGGAGCAACAGTCTGCAATTGCTGAGAAACCATCATACTATCTATCATGTACAGATTATCAAAAAGGTTCAAAGAGCACCATAATTAACTAAAAACTTGCATGAATAGTGTGTGCCCTTTTTTAGTCCACCCCATAACCTTTCTATTGTAATTTACTACATAGATATCTTTTTAAAATATAAATGAATAATTAACTATAAAGCTGATAAGACATTAGGGCATGATTTGTGACCATTGCATGTATTTCGAAGCCGAAGCAAACTAACTTTAGAGTATAAGGTAATACGTGGTACATACAGCTCTAAGCAATTAAAAAAGTAATATAACACTTCACAGTTTACACCAACTAATATAGTAGACCGGAGCAAATTAAATGCATCGAAGTTAAGGAAGTTGCTGAATTTTATATAGAAATCTACTCACTGATAATATATAGCTCGTGTCAAGGTTTCAATTTCAGGTACTGGATCCATAGCAGTCGTCCAGAGTAGATCCAAGCTATACTAATATACCATGTGTTGATACGTTGGTACGTACCGAGTCTCATAAAAAGCACAAAAAGGGACTGAAAAATAGAAAAATTACTGCCCGGTATAGGGCATGTACCAGACGATACAAGCCCTATACAATATAGCCTGATCTGCTTGTCGGTATTTCTGATTGGAAAATACCACCTAGTATTTTTAAAAGTGATATACGTCAAGGTCCCAAAACGCCCGAGGCACTAGGCGCTTTCCTAGGCACCCGCTCAAGCGAAACGAGGTGCTTTCAGTATTAAAATTTTAAATATATATATTACCATTGATAAATAATTAAATATGATCACAAAAATAAAAATGCCACATCAAATTGGAATCACAAGTACCAAATTACATCTCTTGTATCAACACCTACCTAACACCTACCCAGCCTTTCTTCTTTTATACCAGCCAAGTAAGCTACATGGCTGTTCAAATGTTCCCTTTTCTTCAGACCACTTAAGTGACTGAGGTTACAATTCCTAATTTAAGTTCTAAAGAGGCAAATAAAAGACAGCATGGTAGCTCCCTTTTATTTTCTTCTTTTCATTACTTTTGGAATAAAACCTTAACATTTTGATGTAACCCCATTTATCACTATACTTCTAGTGCTTCAAATGTGTGAGTAACAAAAGGGTAGGCTATAAAATGAGAAAGAGAGATGGAGAAGTAATCGACGAAAGGCTGTGGAGGAAGGTGGAAACGGGCAAAGGATGAAGTGGATGAATCTGCAACGGTGGACAAGGGCTCAAGTCGCCCTTGCGACGCTTCATTGAAACGCCTCGCCAAGAGGTGCTATGAGGCATTCAAGTCTCGCCTCACTTCACCCAAGCACCTTTTGAAAACACTAATACCATCCATGATGAACTACACCGAACGATATTCCAAACCTTGGCCTACGAATTTAACGAATTGGTCAATAAGAGATGTTGCTTAAAAGAAATAGCCAAACCCTGGTTGGGACATTAGGACTTCTCTTAAAAGCATTTGAATATGTCAACATGTCTTTCAGTAGTATTTGAAGTTTCTGAGAAAAATGTAATTGAAGATACCAAGCGTGATGGATAAAATATACGTACCAAAAGGGTTATATCCATTGATAAGTTGTGAAGGGTTATCTCTCACCTAGTAATTTAAAAAGCGCTAGGCGCTAGACCACGTGAAACGAGACACTCTGAAATATTAAACTATAAAAAATATATAATACAATTGATAAATATGATTATATAAATAAAAATATGACATTAAATTGACTGAAGAAAGCTTCAGTCAATTAATCTATTTCGGACAATAGTAGTGGCGGAGAAATAGATTAATTGATTGGAGCCCTCTTGTCTCTCTCTCTCTTCTCATTGTTCCCCCTTTTTTCCCTTTCAACTTAATGCATACTTGTGTCGATAAAACAACATTTATAAAATCCTTGAATAAGATCACAAGTGACTAGGATGAAATCAAGTTTACATACGATTGTCGTCTATAAGAAAGAGATAGGCCAAGGGCAGAAAGAATCTTATTTCATTTAGCCGAAACAATTTTAGCAAGTTACGATTAAACACCCTGTTAGCAAACATGAAATTGAGATCTTACAAATACAAACAAATTTCCAAAAAAATAACAAATGGTGCAGGTGGCCAGGAGACCTCTAATTAATCTATTTCGGACGATAGTAGCAGCGGAGAAAACCTCGTACGACAGTAGCAGCGGCGGAGAAAGCCTCGGACGACAGTAGCGATGACGGAGGAAGCTGCGAATGACAGTAGCAATGACGGAGAAAGCTTCGGATGGCGATAGTGATAGCGTTAGCGATGGAAGCTGCAGACAATGGCGTCGTGGGCAGAGGAGGCTTCAGATATGTCCATCGGTGGTCCTCTCCCTCGACGGTGGAAGGAGCGGCACACAGAAGCAGCAGCGACGGAGGGAACTATGCATGAAAGCTAGACCTTCGGACTCGTCCGTCGACGATAGAGGAAGCGTCGGTCCTGTGCGTCGACGGCGGAGGTTACAACAGAGGAAGCGTCAACGGTAGAGGCAACGATTGTGCTAGGGTTTATGGCTCGAGGTCACACAGGGGGGCGAGGGGTGGGTTTTGCAAGTATAGTAACATTATGTAGCTTAGTTGGCTCAATCGAACCAACTAGCTACTATTTAACCGAACTAGACTTAACAGTCTGGTTCGATTGCATTGTTTCAGTTAGGCGCTCGCCCGAGGCGCCCGACGCTTGAGTTCAAGCAAACGCCCAAGCTACGCTTCACTAAAGCGTGTCACTTGGCGAATCTGTGAGGCACTCGGGCCTCACCTTCCCTCACCAGAGTACCTAAGCGAGCACCCAGGTGCCTATTTAAACCCCTACTCTTAACATTCCATCAAATAAGTGAAAGATTCATTAAATTATCATACATTACCTTATTCATATGTCAACAAAGATCATCCAGAAATTTACCAAATAATATACAATAAGGATTCAAATCTCAGGTTAGTATCGATATTAGTCCTTGAATAGATTAGTATGGTTAGACATATTGTGTATTAGTATGTCCCCGTATAGGCCTATATGGGTCAATAGGCCTGAGAGAGAGACAAAAGAGGGAAGAAAGATGAGGCAATAGCAGAGGAGAAAGCAGAGGCACGGGAGAAGGGGAAAGCAAAGAGGGAGGATATAGGTGTAACATGGAGATGGCAATGATTCAGTCAGGAAGAGGAGGTGGGGAGGGGGGAGAGAGATGGAATAGAAGAGAGAAAAGGGAAAAAAAGAAAAAGAAAAATTGAGTGACACCTATCGAGATATTGGTACAAGACAATAGGGTTACCATCAGTATTGGCTGGCTTACCACACAATAAGTTCAGTACGGTGAGCTTGATGGGTAGTATAGCCCATACCAAAATCAGCTGATCTTACTTCCTATTGAGACCAACGAGATATTAAACCAAGAAATGTGCCCCAAACAAAAGCACGGTGAGCTTGATGGGTAGTATAGCCCACACCAAATTCAGCCGATCTACTTCTTGGTGAGATCAACAATATATTAAACCAAGAAATGTGGCCCAAACAGAAGCATCAGTGTTGACGTTGGCACCTGAGCCCTTGAAAGGAAATAAAAACTATCATAGAAACCCTCTTTCATCTGGCATTACTCCAACTAAAGCATTGTTTACCAAAATCAATGTAGTTGTATGCAAACCTAGAGAACTAATGTGATGAGACAAAAATTCCCAAGGGCCTATTGTTAAAAATAATGTAAATTCATGAAAAATGTTTTAAGATAGACCAATCAAGAAAGCATATATATTTTCCTTGTCAGTTTAACATTTACTGAGGGTTAAGGCAGGCCTCACTCCATTTCACAAAAAAATTATATCATGTACAGATTTCATAAATTGTTAAAAAATATCTTGGTTTTTGGCCAAAGCAGACGGCTCAATAAAGCATAATCAACAACCGAAAACAATAATTTTGCGCATAAAGCTATTGGCCAAAGTGATCCATGTTTACATGAAGCTACAGAAGTCATATGTTCAAGACTACAAGAACGACAGAACAATTTAGAGGTCAAAGGAGCAAACAACACAGCACATTAAATTGTTACTCATATAAGGGGAGAAAAGAAAAGTAAGATGCTTAACCAAAACGGCTGTTAATTTGAGTGGACTAGTACAATTCTGGGTAGCTAGTTATTAATATAATGAAGAAACTAATGAAGAAAAACATATTAAAGGTCAAGGGCTATTCTAAGTAATTTAGGAACTCTCACTTGGCAATTAATATAGGAGATGAACCATTATATGAGTCATATTTTAACAGTTTTTAGTGGTAGGCCATCAAACATACAATAATAACAGATCCATGTCAATATTTGCTCTCACAGTTATATGCTGCTTGATGATTTGCAATCCTCCCAAGGTTTGAGCTCAGCATTTAATGATTCAAAATAGTTCATGAAGAACATATAAGCCGCTTAATATTTATATGGTCCTCTCATCTTAAGATTGGAAACCAAGGAAATTCATTCCTTTACACAGGAATAGAATAGAGAATCTCAGAAAGTCCCAGTTGAGATAGACAATATATGGTGTACTCATCAAATAGAAAGACAAATTATAGGTAATACTGGCAGCCAATGATCCATCCGAAACCTTCATGCCAGATGAAGGGAGACCAATCTAGCAGTCAGAATTGGGATACTGGCAAACTCATACTAAGCAAATCTAGCTCTTAAGTTCTATAATAGGCTACCAAATAATTTGAGCAAAAAAATGCTTTAACAATTTAATAAACAAAGTAAAGGAGACCAACAATTCCATTAAAAAATGCTTAAAAATTCCACATCTACCACTTGCACATAGTACAAGACTATAACATGACTTCTAAAGGAAAAAATCAATGCATTGGACACTTAATGTCAAGTTCAGTTGGCAGATTTGAATCCTAGGGACGAAAGAATATTCCAGGCAAAGATTCCAGATTTGTGGTCATGCATAACCAAACTCGCTCTCTAGTTGAGATTCTCTAGTTCCTATAATGATTACCAAGAAAACCTTGACAGTGGAAATATTAGAGAGTTAGAAACCCAAATATGAAGACATGGCACCTTGGTGCATGAGGCTCTCGCCAATGCAGTCTGACGTTCACTATGATCAGCCTTACCCCGATAAATAAAGATGACCCAAGATCTCCCAATTACATTGTGTGGCATGAAATTCAAATTCCTGGGTATGGCAGGCAGCTGCAAATCCTGACCCAACTGGTAAAAGACCTTCTATTTGACTAGAAGGAATCTACTGCTATCCAATCTAAGTGGATCTCTTAGATTAGTGAGATGCCTCCAATACAAGTATCATGCCAGCAGGTCAAAACAAACAGATACACATTCCCAACCAGACCCACTACTGGCCATGCATAATCTTAACCATGTTAAGCAAAGAATTCCAAAATAATTAAATACTGAGACATCGATGTTGAAGAATTGAAGGTGCAGAAAAAAGACAAATTGGTGGTAAAACTAAATGGCTCATGAAGGCCTCTTTAAAAGAAAAGCATATAAAGGCTGGGATTTCATATGAACTAAGCTACACATGACTATGCAGTCTATGCTAACAAAAAAATAGTCCCTACAGAAAAGAATGAGCAAGACAAGCCTCACCAGTGCTGATATGCTACTGTCAGATGATGATGGAATAGAGCTGACAAGTTGCTCTTTATCCATATCCCAAACCAGGATTGATGATATCTCACCCGAAGCATACTAAGTCAAAGATGATGCTCAGTCAGAACCACATTCATGATAAGTCACCAGATACATAAGGCAATTTATATTTGGAAAATATCGTACCAAATAACCAGATTGTTGCTGCCAGTCCACAACTACATTTGTGCCACGAACAGCAGCCCGATGACCTTGCATGGCAGAAAATGCTGTCACAAGTTTCTGCTTCCCCTTCATGGTGTAATTTTTCCAAAAGCAAACATTTCCATCACCTACATTACACATGATTATTCCAACCAAAGTTTTATACCAAGAGGCGTTCTACTGCTACAGGTGTTGCTTAATAATATAAGAAAGGTGGCTTACTAGAAGCAACTAGAAGCAAACTGTCATCAAGCTCATTCACAAGACACAGTTTAGATATTCCTCTATCAGATGACTCACGATTATCAAAACAGTTCAAAAGAGTAGCTTCTTCATAATTCCATACCCTGTGAATCAACATAATTGATCAATAAATTATTGATCAATTGCATCACAAAAAGTGTTAAAACAGGAACCTCAAATTTTAAACACTTAAAAGGCCATGTAACTCTTAATACCAAGCTCGAAATACAATACCACTACCCAATATTAAAAACCTACCACATCAACAGATCCATTGAGTAATGCAAGGAAAGCGATGCACATACACACACAGGAAAGCCATGACCCAATATTAAAGCCCTACCACATCAACATATATACTGAGTAATGCAAGGAAAGCCACATACAGAAAGCTGTAAACTCATCAAAGCATATATAACAAGCTATATACCATGATTTTAATAGTACTTAAAAGTTAAAATCATTAATAAAGAGCACTAAAAAGAAAAACATTTATATACCTTCCTACAAATAATTTATGTAAAGGAAAACACCATGACTTTCTAAAAGACTCCAGGAGGGTGGTGGGAAACAACATATTTTTAAACGCATCCTCTTGTATTTAAAAACATTAAAAAATAAATAAATATTGAGAAAGGATCAACTTCATAGTTTGCAAAATCAAAGTTGGGATCGGGATTGGCCCATGGCAGTGTGATCCTATGGGCTGGATTGAATTGATGGAATCAGAATCCATTAAAATAAAATGAAAACAAAAGGAGAAAAATATCAAATAATAATAATAATAGGAAAATACTAGAAGATAACACATAATTATATATAATTTTATGTAACTATATATGTGATTGGGATATTATATATGGGCCCCTCTGATAAACCTATGACAGGTCACACGGAGGGAAATGACAAGCAACAGTTTCTGTCCCGGAAAAATCAGTCATTTATTTATTAACCAGATGACTGATCTTTCTATAACTATCAACAACTACTAATGTGATCAATCAACACAGATTTGGCAGAAAAAACCCTTTAGTTGGATTTAATTTATTGCCATCCATGGTTACAAATGCACATAAGTGATTGTTTGACCAATATAAAAAACAGGACACATACAAGAAATGGGGAGGCCAACTCACTCTTTGAACTTCTGAGTTCTCAACATCCCCACATTGGTAAGACACTGACTTTAGCATAGGAGAACCTGCTGGGATCATTAGCAGCAGTATTTTTCCATTGCTTGGCAGGTCAGCACATCAGAGGTTCAAACAATGGTGCATGTGTCTGGCAAAAAGTCAGACCAAGGATATCAAAAATCCATAAATGCAGCCCTTCCATCTCTCTCCAGGGTCACATGCTCCTTAACCATGGTGAACATTTATTGGATCTGGTGCCCTTTACCATTTTTCACTTTATTTTCATTGCCTGTAGTAGCCGATTTCAATGAAGAGAAATGGGGAGGATACAAGAGAAAGTGAAGAGAATGTTGATTTCTCATGTCTGACCACAATAATTTTAACAATTGGAGAGGTATTAACTATTAACTTTATCAGGTAGATATGTTTGGTTTCAAACTCCAATTCTGATCTGTTTGAACTGGGTTTGACTTAAGAATGCCACCTTGATTCAGTTCCTACACGACTGGAATCACCTTCGGTAACATGCATCTAAAATTAATCACAAGTCATACAAAGAAAACTCGCTTAATAGTAGGTCTCTATAGAAGTAAAATAATTGACACATCACCTATCACTTTAAGAACATTTGTGATGCCATATGCTGTGGACCTCTCTGTCATTTGGTTCCAGACCCCTTTTTCTTTCGCCCAAAGGTGTAAGGATATGACAAGAGATTTCTAAATGATCCTTCAGTAACATGCATATCAAATTAATCTCATGTCATACAAAAAAACTCACTTCACTCTAAGTCTACATACGAGGAAGAAAGTAAAACACTTGACACTTCACCTAACACTTCAAAAACAATTGTAATAATGTGGTGAGAGCCACTCTTTCATTTGGTTCTAGTCCCTTTTTTTTTCCCCAACGGTTCAGAAATATAACAACAGACTTTAAATGATACTTTTCTTCTATTAATCCAAACAAGGGAAAGTGATCTTTCCTTCTTTTCTTTCTTCTCCCTCCCATTTGCCCTTAATCATCTCCTCTCTTTTCTGTGCAAGTGAATGTCCAAGCCTAAGACTTCCAAAGATACAAGGCTTTAAAAGACTTTGTTATCTTCCATTCTCCGTTTTTGTGTTAATACGCTACTGAGATTCAAATTTTAGATTTTGGGACAAGATGACTGAACTTATGCCCTCATCTTCCTCCCAAAACCAAAAAGAAGAGAGTTCAAAAGCTAGTGATCTACACCAATCACAATCTAGTTCTTTAAAAGAGACATTCTAACAAGACAAAATTTCACGGATCCAAAGAATAGATAAAATCAACAATCTGTTATAAAATATTATGTAATCGTCACCTGTATCCTTGCTAATAACCAAATGATTACAATGAGTACTTAAAACATTAAGAGTATGAAAATGTGACATACAAACAAGAGGCGAAATCTTTTTCAGAATAAGCAAAATTTTCATGGACAGTCTAATTAGTTCAGCAACATAACTACTAACTGTCAACAAGCAACAACATAACCATGAAGGTCATCGATCAAATCAGACCAAGCTTACTTGATGCATGTCTATAATCTAACAAGGCAGTTTCAAGAGACATACTGCAACATGAAATTTTGCTATAGAACAATTCAGTCCAAAAACTATTATAATGTTAAAGCCAAAGAGAATAATAGAAGGAGAAAAGAGTTCACCACCCGAATTACCTGATTTGTTCTTTCTCATCAGCAGCGACCACAAAAGGAGAAAAAGGCAAGAGCAATGCAGCCTTCGTGCCTGTTTCATACTTGGTATCCCAGCTAGCAATTTGATTACCAAGTTTACAATTAGCTGGATCAAGTATACAGTAGAAAAGTCAAACATGCCCAGAAAGAAACATGATCAAACATCATTTTAACTTTTAAGACAATACAACAAACAGAAATTGAACATATCAGCCTACTCACAAGAGTGTTGACATTTGGCTATACCATCCAAAGCCATTCTCTCTCTTTCTTCTCTCCTAGCAACAGTTTCTTCACTGTCATCAGTGCCAGCAAGAAGTGGCCTTGAAAAATGAACACAACTCCAATTGTAAACAATTGACTGTGGAAGTAAGCTACGTTCAGAACTCTCAGAAGATCCAACAGCCCCTATAAGTGGATCAGCTAATCCAGTATCTGGAGAATTTAGTTGGTGTGGCCTGAACTCTAAAGAGCACACTCGGCGCAATCCTGTCAGATAATTTTGCTTAGGAGGGCTAACAGGAGGTGTCCGGAATGTCATTGATAAATGACCTGCATCAATTAATCATTATATAGTGAAAACTGCAAAGTTCAATACCAATTATAGAGTGCTACCAATTAAAACTCGAACAATGAGAATAAAAATTACCGGCATTAAAGTCAAACCATGAAGATGAGCGAGCCAATCCAGAAAGATTAGAGTACTGAGATGGAGCTGAAGAATCTCCTTGGTGTATACCCCCACCACCATACCTTGCAGTTCTTGCAACCACTAGTTCAATACCAATTATAGAGAGTGTTCTTCGGCCAAGGTTTGCAACACGAGGAGATGGATCCTTTGCGATGTTACACATGGCCAAAATAAACTGAGAATATAGAGCACTGTCAAGAGTTCTTGATCTAGAGCAATTGATGATCCCATTAGTAGTAGTTTCTTTTATCAATATACCAGAGTCAGAATGATGAGAAGAATCATCAGATTGTGGAGAACCATGCATCATACCAGTTGATGCAATGGGACTACTTGTCGATATCCTACCATCTCGACCAGCAGCAGTGCTGTCACTACTACTTCTCAATACAGGACCAATACGTGAGGAAATGGTGCTTCCTACCTGCATCAGTTGACTGGGACAATAGCCACTAAAATTATTAACATTAGCCAAAGATGGCAAGGAGCTCAGAAGGGAGTTAGACTGAGGCTTCAGGTATTCAGCAGCAATTGACTTCAGATGCTTGTTATGACCAAAGGCAAAGCGGGCAAGAGCTGCCAAACAATTATGTGAATATTGTTTTACAAATCAAATTAAAAACAAAGTATTCATCAAAGTCAAATAGTTCATTTGCTACCGAAAAAATGCAAAACCATCTTTTAAAAAGCCAAAGGATAAGAGCAAAAAAAAAAACTGGGTCAACAAAAGACAAAATACAAAATACAATTCAAGGATAAACTATTTTTTAACAAGAACACGAAAAAAGAGAGAGGTCTCAAGGAGCACATTTGAAATAGACCCTTTTTTACAAGTACACAAAAAAAAAAAGAGAGGCCTCAGGGGAGCATATTAGACTTTCATGTACACACTAAGAAAATTTGGATTGTTGCACATACCTACAGCGACCTCAGCCCTAACCAAGGGACTCCCATCCCCAGAAGCTTGTAGAAGATTTCTAACAATATTCAGCTCAGATTTTATTTTTTCATCATCATCAAAGTCCTCATCACCTCCATGTCCATCACCAAATGAGACAGATCCAACGTCAATAAGGGTGCCCAATGCAAAAGCAGCTGCAGCTCTGACCTGACAAACATACGTTAAAATACATAAAATGATATTGGCAGACTAAAATATTGATTACAAACATGTAAAGAATTCTTACCTCGGGCTGTGGCTCTGACAATAAAGGTGCAATTGTTGCTGGTCCATCTGCTTGCATACCTATAATTTGCGCTTCTGGAAAATCCTCCCACAGTTTTCCCAGGCAAAGACAAAGCCACTGAAGAAGTAAAGGTTCGGTTTGTCCATCACATGGATTAGCAAGTTGCAAATGTTTCAAACAAACATGTATCAGATTTGCTTGAATACATGCTTCTTGTCCCCGCCGATGTCCATCCACAACAACTGCCAAAACAAAAGCAGCCATTGCCCGCTGCTCCGGATAGGCATCCATGCTATCAAGAAATCTGATAAAATATGCATGGCCTCCATCTTTCACAAGATCTACTTGACAAGACTGATATTGCAGGGAAAAAACTATAAATTAGTCATTTGTCCTACAGCATTTGATGCCATAAATATTAAATTAACAAGAAAAAGTGCATTTATTTTCTCCACATTTTATTAAGTCCAAACCACTCAACAATCATCAATAAAATTCCAAATACATAAAAAGAGGCAGAAACAACTAGTGGCCGACCCAACCAAAGATATACCTTATCAAGAGCAAGAATCTTGGTCCAAATGAACACAAGAATTTGACGCAATTCCATTGCAGTAGTTTGTAAAAGTTTTAAAACATACGGAAAGATCCCAACAGATAGAGCCTGAAAGATCCAAGGTATTCAGTCGAAGCATGTACATCCCAAAAAAAGTATTTAAATGCATTCACATGTGCAAAAGATGGAACAAAGACAAGAAATCAGCAATAACAAACCAGATCCACAGCCCAAGCTCCCATATCAAGGAATCTTCCTAAGAGTACTAGTGCTCGGAATCGATGAGATTGACTTAGTAAAACCTGGAAAAAAAGAGATAAAAGAAGGAATTCAACAACAAACGGAAAAGCAACAAACTAAAGAGAAACAGGAAATTGTACAAACATATAGAACTGAAACATCTTAGGGATAGTAGAAACAGCAAACAAACTACACTGAACTACAACAGACTCATCTAAATTTACTTCGTAGTCCATACAGCAATGTCAATCCATTTTGGTGATTTCGTAATCAAGGTTCACATCGTCAGTCATATGACAAGCAAGAACATAGAATGATAGTAAAATAAGAGAACTTCCAGGACTCCAATCATAAAATGATTATGTACGTAAGAAATAAAGGTTTAATTAAAACAAGCAACTGTCATATACTATTTTGGGACAGCCAAATGGATCACTTCCTGCATTTTAATTAGAGGCAATATTGTGGGCATAATCCAAGTATCTCTCTTCAGAGATAACCAACTCTCTCTACAAAGCTAGAAACCACTACAAAGGTGGGTACTTGGTTGAGTACCCACCTTACAAAGCAAGCTAAACTCAGCATCAGAAAGCAGCAAAGCATATGAAAAGATAAAAGAAGCAATGAAACAAAATCAGGAGGTACTCTTTTATTGTGATTGCATATACCTGAAGAACAATTGGCAATTGCTCTGGTGGCTTCTTATGTTCGGAACCATGATCCAGCCACACCTCAAAAGCTGTCAGTTGCTCAGTGAAAAAAGGGCTTGGCTGATTCAAACAAGTCAAAATATCAATCCAGCATAACAAAGGTGAAAAAAGAAAAAGGCAGCTCAGCATACAATGAATAATCTAGCTGCCTCTGTAACACTGATCAAGATGCTACCACAAAGAAAAACTTAATGTCAATGTAAATAATTTCAAAAATAACAAAATGAAACCTGAAATTCAGCATTTGGATCAGCAATCAGCTGTGGAAGCTTAGACAAGCAAATCTCAGCAGCCATGTCCCATGCATCCCTACAAGAAGTCAATACTCATGCTAAAACACGGCGTCATAAAAGGAATAAGATGACACAAAAGATAAGAAACGAGATAGAAATTTTCATCCACATGGTTACCACATATGATGCTGATGAGTTGGTGGCAACAATGGATAAGAAACTGGGGAACAGTTTGCAGCTCGCATTATTCGCTCAGCGAGTAGAAAATTGCGAAAGAGACTAGCAACTAACAGATCTTGCCTAAACAGACTCTGAAAAAGGTCTGCACAATGACATTTAATAATTTTGTGCATCATCCTTTATTTTAGCACTGGATTCTAATTACCAAAATATTCTGGAATTCAATGCTCAAAAAATATATCAACCTTAAAAAACAAAAACCATTATCGACAGTACCATGAGGTAGGACATTCCATGCAATCGTATCAGTAACAGCAATGAAAATCCAGTTCAGCTCTCCCAGAAGTGTCTTTCGGTCATTTTGACGGCCAGGAATTTGGTCAATAAGAGAATGGGTAAGAGATCCGTGAAATAAAGAGCGAGAACAAAACCTGAGCAGTAAAGAAGATGAATGTTAAACACTCCAAAAAAAACTACAAGTCACCATAAGTTACAGATGTTTACATAATATGCAAGTTCTTTTTGTTATGCCAAGGTATCCATATATGCAACAAAATCATGCTTCACAAATCCATAAAGCACAGGAGCATGTTAGGAAAAAAAAAAATTATAGATGAAATAACATATCACAAGTGAAACAAACAAAACAGATGAAGTTAATATCTTGTAGCAATCACTCAAAGACAGACATAAAAGGAGAACAAGATGTGTGCCTAGAACAGCTAATGGAAAGAATTTCACCAAACAAATCAGGCCAACCAACACAAACCAATTAGAACTCAAGCTGGCTTCTATTTTCTGACGCACCAGTCAATGAAATCAGACAAGATAAATTCAATCAAACACTGAGATAGACAAGTATATGATATCACACTCAACATTTCCATCATTTTCATCCCATTTTAGAGGCCAATTGTCCAACTGGACAAGGCTCAAAGTCCACCTTAACTTGGATAGGCATGTGCTAGTGAAATGAAAATCACAATGCTTTACCTACATCCATTTTCCAGTCTACTTGCATCCCCAACTTGGAAATTGATTTTAATTATTTGTCAACCATTCAAAACTCTGACAAGGATGGCCTAAGCTAATGAAATGACACTAAACAAAGCAATCAAGTACCAACATCCACTTTAGAGACAGTTACACCCTAATTTTTATTTTAGTGAAAAGAATTTGTCTGCATGGAAGTTGCAATACATCTAGAACACATGAGCAAAAGTTCATATATTCCTCAAGAAAACAGACATGTCAGTTAGAGAAAAGTACATACAGTTAAAAAAACTGACCATCGCAATGCCATTTTAATTGGAGTTGTAAGGCATGATGTGAAAACATCAGCAGGAAATTCAGCACTCTGTGGAAGAGTCTCATGAGCTTCACAAGCAGCAAGCAGAATACAGTCTTTTAATGAGGAAACAGAAGCACCAGAAGAGTTTGAATCTTGCCGCTAAAAGTACAAAATACAGCATTAAAAAGCATTAAAATATAGCATAACACTACAACTTCTTAAATTGCACACGTAAAGACTGTCTAATGCGATCGTGAACCTTTAAAAAGGCACTGATGATCATCCCTGCCGCAGAGCAGTCAAAAACATATATTGAAGGAGATTTAAGCCAAGAATCAAGCTCACTGATAGGCAATGGAATATATTGTGTGTAACTCTGTTTTCAATGGAAGAAATATGACAGTTAGACATCTAAACAAAGTTTTTTAAAAAAATTCCAGCATAAATCACCATTCTAGTATGATGGAGAAAACCTTGTTGAAAACCCAGATTTCTCCATTAGATGTAGGCTTCGGTACTCCATGTCCATTATAATGAAATAGAACTCTTTCTGACCTAGCATATTTGCGACAGGTATTACAAAGCTTCTTGACTTCCTCCACGGTGGGATCCAGTTGAAGTTTATAACGAGCCTGATATTCGATTAAAGTATATATCCCAATAGTAAATCTAATGTGAAATACAATAGCATCAAAGGTCAAAATAGGCCTACCCGAGGTTGCCAGCGTTCATACTGTACTTGCAATGCCTTTCCAATTGTCTCAAGTGCCTTTGGAGCAGCCATAGAATATGGATCTGGTTAACAACAAGACAATGTTCAAGTATGTATAACTAAAATCAAATGCAAGTCAGGAGCATGATTGGACAAGTAACAAAAATTTAGCCAGAGCCAAGTAGACCAACTAACTACTATCTGCAACAATAAGTTAAAACATGGTAAGTTGTACACTGAGTATAAGGTCACAATTAAACATGCATAGAAGTTTCATACTCAACAGAAGAATGCAACCTATATAAGAAGATAAACTACAGATGCCTCAGAGGATACCACACATAGGTCTTATACCATAAAAGAATCAACAACCTTGTTGCAGTGTAAAGATCAACTGCTGCCATAATGACCAAGAGATTTCCCTTGTAATGACACTCTTCTTCTAGAAGACAATAATAAGTAAATATAGTTTTGATATCTAGTCATAATCTTATTAGAAGCTCAAATTTTGAGTATCCTCATTTGCTTTCGTTTATAGGATAAAATTTTTAACTTTAACTAAATGACTCACGTGAACCAGACCGAAATTATCCACAATCATTGCAGATCTAATTTGGTCCATGATATGAAATATTTCCTGAGTTTACAACAACAAGAACAAGCTCCTGACGATGACAACAAATATCACTAGTCAATCAAATCATTTTTTCTCTCCTAATGCATCTACTTGTAATCCATTCACTTTATCTAACCAGTGCACCTATTGGTTTCCTATGAACATCTCCTGATACTGTATATGAATATATTAAAGAAACATTAATTACCTATTTTGGTGAAACTACTGAAATTACAAACATAACAATCCAGAAAAACCATGAAGAGCATTAAAAGTTGTGTTCATCTTCACATTAGCCAGTTGTCAAAGCAACTCATATACTATGAACACAAAGAATACCCCTACGCTGGTTGCTAGCTTATGCATATTGGAGAAAACCCCCTTATCATGGAACAGCAATTAGTTTTATGATAATAAACCACAATTTCCTTTCAGATTTCACAACTTAAATCTTATCAAACATAAAGTTCGTTAAAGAAAATATAAAGAGGATCTCAAAATAAAATGTGTCAGCTGTCAGTATCTATTGATATCATATGATAGCAACTTACAAGTTCCAGAACTTTTAAACAACCAAAACAAGGAGAAGGAAGAAATTATCAAATTAAGATAAAACGTGTCAGCTGTAGTATCACATGATGTTAGTCCAAGAAGCACGGTTTATATTTCCAAATTAAGGACTAAATATACAAGTCCACAAGACAAATATTTTCTTCAACAGGCACTTTAAAATTACTTCTCAGAAATAAGGTTATCTTTCCAATATCCATAGTTACTGCCCGAGTTACAACAGAATGAGCCACGACTATTTTATTGTGAGTTTCAGGTAATGTGCTTTAAAGCAGAAAAGTTAACATTGCATCAACCTAATAGCAAAATTAAATTATTGCACATAGCAATTCCTGAAGATTAATGGTTTAGATGCCTTCTAACTCAAAAAATCATTTAGTTGATCCTTGCTATTTACATGCAACTCAACTATTACAAAACAAGTACATATACCAGTTTCAAAATATGAGATCTCTTGAAACATGACAAACATAAGACACTAAGTATCATCCATACCAAAAGGTGTATACACAATGGGCTACCAAATGCAACAACAACGGCACAGAGGAATCAAACATGACTTAATAAATTAGAGTTAGAGAAAGAAAACTACAGATATAGATAGCTCTTCAAATTAAAAACTCAATACAGAAATCTTAACAAAATTAACCATTAACAGGGCAGCCAAAACATCAACAAATGAATTATCAAAATTAAAATGAACAGAATTCTAAGAGATTGACACAAGAAACAAGTCCCAAGTTACCCATCCAGCACTCCATTCGGGCACATGGAGAAATTTTTATAACATCTGGTGGATCAACACCAATATTTAAACATAACACAAGTGCAACACACCCAGTCTTCATCTGCAGTGAAAATAATATGTATATTTAACATCAAAATTCAAACTGAATGGAATGCAAGGAAAAGCATATTTGTAAATATATAAATGTCCATAGGATCTCAAAAAAAATAAAGAGTAAAAAGAATAAAATCAATCATCACTACATTCAAAAATCATGGTAGTGCACACACAAAGAGACCACTAGCATCAAATTTAGCAGCCTAAATCTCCATGTAAACTGCATTCAGGTGCGAATAGATATTATAATACCTTAAAATGCTTAAAACACACAAATAAAAGCCACCGAAAGAAGAAAATTAGAATTTGCACCATGAGTACAAAATAGTAATCATTTCCCACAAATACAGCCATATCCACAAAGCAAACTTCAGTAAAGAATCACACAAATAAACTAGAAAAAGGAAAAAGAAAGTTTAATTTTATGCATCCAATAATTGACATTGGTATATAATAGTAACAATAAAAAAAAAGAAAATACCGTTCAATAAATTCACATCAAGAAATATTACACGAGTTGTTAAGGATCACGCAGCAAAATGTCTGCTCAAGAAACTACATCATGAAAATGAATAATGAAAGCAGTACCACTGTTTAAGGGCATGGCAAATGTAGTGAACCCAGATATCTACAAACCATCAGCAACGACAACCTTGTTATTTTGTATCAATGTTAAAACTAAAATAAAATTAGTAGTTATATTGTCTATAATAACAAAATCCCAATATTGTCTATTAAACCAATTGAATCCCATAAAATTTCACTTTTTCAAAATAAGCTACAATAACTTGTGCTAATTTCCAGCAGCCTTTAAAGATAGGCAAACTACTTCAGGGTATATCCAAGCTATCACGACCCGTCCCACTGGATAACTAGATCCATAATTCATGAGCCTAAAACTGGTCTTCCATATCCATTATGGGACTAAATCTGAGGTATCAGACAGGCTATGTTACCAAAGCAAACTAGTGCATGGTTGTTGCCACTACTGATATTGCACCATGGCACTTGTATAACTTATGCAAAAACATCAAAAGTAAAACACGCAAGTGAGAAACGGGCCTTACTGATTGCATTTTATGTTCACGCAACATGAAGCAAATTTTTGAAGTCCCAACAGATTGTTAAGGTATGTAAAAGAAGAGAAAGAGACGCAATAGAAAATGAGGATTATCTAAAAGCACAAATAACCTACTGAGCCAATGGGAAGAAAAAAGGGCCCAAGGAAGGTTATCTTATAACCTTTCTTGCTACTTCCCTTATCTTTCTCCTCATACACTTCCATTATCTCCTTCCACCACCTCCTCAATCCTCCCTACTCACCACATTACCTTTTATAACTTTACAATCTCGTGAATCAAGGTCACAAGTTCCACTATTTTCAAGAATTGTTTTAGAGCATATGAACTTTTTTTTTTGGTCCTCCATATTAGTACATTATGATAACAGGTGAAAACAAACCATAAGCTGAATGTACATTAACAAAATTATGATGAAGCAACAAAGTTATATAATTTGGATTTTGCAAAATACTCTTCAAAGGTAATGAAGAACCAAATATTTCACTGGAAACATTAAAATTTAGCAGATTTAGATTGTAAAACATGCGAGATTGGCATATGAATATAATAACTTGGGAATTCTACACAAACTCCAATCTTTGAGTCTACCTAATTCAAGAATGAACTTATAGTGTCCATACAAAGACTTGAAATCAAGGTTCTTAATTTCGCACCGAACCAGTGTTTTGAGCTTTGCTCGATGCAGTAAGGTACGGGAGTACCGAGCGGTACACCCTATATACAATATAAAATATAAAAAATAAGAAAACGGAGGCGTACACTGCCACGGTGACATTGCCTCCTCTTCTCCTCGCCGCTTCAAATGAGGAGAAGACGCGGTCTTCTCCTCATCTGCGGCGTTCGACGAAGACGTCGAAGGCCGCAGACATCTCCGAAGAACGCGGTGAAGGCCTCAGGCATCTCCATCCTTCAACGAAGAACGCGACGAAGAAGAAGCCAAGCCGCCGCCTCTCTGTTACCTCCTGAATCGAGATCGTCAAGGGAGAGCAACGCCGGATCAGAAAGCGTCAAGGTTCTCCCGATCTTCCCTCTTCTCCCTCGACGCTTCTTCTTCCCTCACTGCAGCCAGGCTGATACTGCCCGGTAGAGGGCAGCGATGGTCGAAATCAGCCGTTACCGCCCGATACAGCCCCATATCGTCCGATACGAGGCTAGATCAACGGTATCGCCCGATAGTGAGCGGTCCGCGTACCGGTCTGCTGGCGGACCGGCACAAGCGGTATCATTCGAAATTAAAATCCTTGCTTTAAATTATACTCATCAATCATCATATTCTCAGGCACAAGGGACCATAATTCTAATAGCTATAGGGTGAAAGAGGTTGTGATTGAGACATAACTTGGAGGAAACCCAAGGTTACCTACAGTGCTAATCACCCTGGTGGTTGTTAACTTAAAACCTAGTATGGATTACCCATAAAAAAGAATAGCTTGAGAAGTAAGAAAATGCAAAGAGAAGGAATTGAAAAAATACAAAAAAAACACACACACACACACACACAAAACATAGATAGGGTACATAGGAAGGAATGATGCTTCGGCAGACTGCCCCCATTTCGGGCAATCGAATCTGCCCATATAAAAAAGAAAGAAAAAAAACTGTATAATCATGTTTGCCTTACAGCGCCGTCACGCACCGTCTTTGCCTTAATTGCATCTCACACATGCAGGACACATCACACGACCTAGCCACACACCACCACCGCGCACCGCCGCCTACCGAGTAGGCCACTTCTCGTCCTCCTCCTCCTTCATCTTCCTCCATCACCTCCTCTCCTTCTTCCTCTTCCTCTGTCTTCCTCCGCCGCCTCCTCTTCTTCCTTTCTCTTCTTCCTTTCTCCTCCGTTTTCTTCCTCCTCCTTCTTCCATTGTGCCTTCCTCTTCTCATTCTTCTTCTTCAAAACACCAGTACATGCCGATGCACCGATAGCGACCAGTATGTAGTGGTTTGATCGGGGACCGACATGGGTCCAGTGCGTGACACGGAAATCCTTGTTACATAGATTAAAAAATAACAAAAAGGAAAGAAATCAAGAATACTAAGGCATTACTTTGTTTAATAGACTACATGCTAAAATAAACTGATGAAGTATGATGATGAAAAGTGAATAATATGCATAACAAGGCATGCTATTTACAACTGCAGATACATAGAATAAACTGATAAATCAGGATGACAGTGAATAATATGTATGGCAAGGCATGTTATTTACAACTGCAGGTACGTACGTGCTCTTCCACTTTAATGCAAGGACGATCACCACAAAATATAGCTACAAGATAACTGACAGTATAAGAGCCAATAGACAACTTATATGGCACCTATAAACAGTATAAATTAATGCATTACGATTGTCATAGCATGCCGGGCAAAGCGGCTGCTAGATTTAGTGTAAACTGGCATCTAGGCAAAAGCAACCTGCAGTTCCTCAGTAGTGAAACAAAAAACATCATCAGTTACGAATATAATTCATTCTTTTTCTTTCACATCAAAAGACATGGTCTCCATGGCCTCTTTAGTCAAAGGAAGTTGACCTTAAAAGGGCATTTATTATGTTTCCCTGTAGTCTTCATTGTGCCAATTTCTCTTAAATCTAATCACCATAAAAAACATGGAAAAGAGTTTTGTCTTAACATGTCATTGTAGCCATAAAATTCACATCCAAAATGCTTTTCTACTCTTTTGTTACTAAAAAAAGGGTTTCTTTTCTCTCAGCCTCTTTTGCTCAAAACAGATGTATTGCCTCCTAATGTTTTCATAATTTCAACTTGTTTTTATGGATCCTACCATTTCATAAGTATGACATAGCACCAATTACCTCAAACTACTAGCCAGAAGAAAAGGCTGAAGACAAGAGCAAAGACAAAAGCAAGTTCCTCTGATATCTTCTCTCTCTCCTTAGACTTGCAACAACATGCTTCAGATCTGAACAATAAACATTACCTTGCTTATGATAATCTAGGTGAGATCCCTGTCAAGGAAACATCATTGCGCCGTGAAAATAAATGGAACATATATCCTCACTACCCTCACATTCACAAACAAGAAACCTTCACTAAATAAACTATCATCTCTGCAACCAAATGACTCATAAATTTAATCACCTGATATTACAAATCAAAACTAACCCAATCAGTTTTCAGCAGAAAAATATTTCTTGACGAATAATTGATGCAGAACATTGCCACTTCCAGCTGGTTTCAAGTTCCCATTCCATCACATAATATCAATAAATGCAAGTAAAGTTCTCTAACTGAATTCAGCCAAGAACCAATCATCAATTAGATTGTTTACATTCCTCTTTCTCTTTCAAACATTTCTTTCATACTTCTAACCCTCCTGTTTCAAGAATTGCTTTGCTCGACAATAGCGCCATAGATTATCAAAAAAAAACCACAGGTTTCACCTGTTCTTCACCAAAGGCTACTAATTCATAGCATTTGGAAAAAGGAAACTGAAAAGGAGTTGCAGAAACAAATTACCCGATCCTTGGGCCGCCACTTAGACACCAAACCATTGTCTGACGGCCCCACCGCCGCACAATCCTCGAAGCCCTCATGCCGGAAATCGGATAGCACGACCGTGTGGGGCAAGTAAGCCATGCCAGTAGCCGTCGCCCCAGACGCCCTCACGCCCAGGTTGGCCCCTGCCGGGGCCGCCACCTCAGGCTCGGTCCTCTGCGAGGCCGCATCCCCGGCCCCGGCCCCGTCCTCCCCGCCGGACAAGCCATCCAAATGGTTCGAAACGGACGCCGAAGACCCAGACAACCTGGACGGCATCAGATCTCCCAATGCCATCGATTCAAAGCCCGATAACTCAGCCTTTCCCCAACCGGGCCGTCGTCATCGCCCCCCGGATGGTAGACCTCTACCCCGATGGCCACCTTGCAAAACCCTGCCACCGATCGGTGGAGCCGAGCGGCGCGGCCTATTCGACGAGTACCGTGGGCCAGCGACGCATGGCGATCCGCAAGACGAAGGAGAAGCAATCCATCTCTCCGAACCCCAGCCGGCTTTCCTCCGGAAAGCTACAGAAATCTTGGGGATGGAGGCGAGTTTAGGAAAGAGAGAATTGAAACCCTAGAATTTTCTTGTGTGCGCGTGTATATGTGTGTGTGTGTGAGAGAGAGAGAGAGAGAGCGGGGTTGAAGGCGGAGGGAAACGGGAAATGATAGGAAAGGAAGGAAAAGACGCGAGCAAACGGGATAAAAACATGATCGAAATCATAATAATAATAATATTATTATTATTATTATAAAGTCACCGGCCAAATTCAAATATATTATATATATATATAACTTATTATTCCAATAATAAAAAAAATGATTTTTAATAGCTTTCTTTTTCCAAATGTTCGACTATTAGGAGATAAATATTAAAAAGAGAAAACAATGACAGAATAAAAGCGGGAGAACGGTGTTTGATGTAGGCTTCGGTTGCACCGAACCAGCTGTCACGTATCCTGCGACCCGAGGAGTTAAAGGTGACGTTGAGCTAACGAGGAGTTCATTTACGTGGAGGTTTGGGTTGCGTCGCCATATCCAACGGTGAGATGGGATTTCATTACTGTACCTTTTGCTCCTGAGCGAACCACCGTGGAGAAGGCAGTGATGGTGAGTGACTTATAAGCTGAAGTAGATTAAATTAGAAGACAGTATCGCTGAAAGTTTGAGATGGCTTATTGTTCGAATCGCTAAGGATATTGACTATTACCCATCAGACATTTATATATTTTAGTATTATTCATTTATAATGTAAAATTAATCGGAATGTTACATTAACTTCGTGTGAATCTATTCGTCTAAGACGATAAAGGATAGAGGATAGACGATAGATAAATCTCATACTTTGATCGTTGTATTGACAAGCAATCCGTTGCTGTGTCAAAATGATGAGATAAATCCTCCCTGAGTTGGATTTGCAGCTGTAAATGAGAGGTGTGCCAACGGTCAACGGTAAACAATGCTTTGTCGTGTGGGTCAACTTATTATATAGGTTGCATCAGATCACAGGCCACTTTGAAGTGATAAACCAGCCAACAAAACGCCAAAGGTGCGTACTTTGGACGTCATGGCTTAGTACCAAAGTCTTCGACTCCATTGGCAGCCGACGTGCGTGACCAACAGATGTTTGAAGTGACAACCATACAGGATCCACTTGAAGGGTGTCGTCTTGTGGCAAAGAGGAGGTGCATGGTTGACTAAGCTTTCTACATGAGCATGAGTTGACCACACCACTGATGACCTTCTGATTGGACCACAGCCTCCACGTTTCGATCTCTCATTGCCCGATCATCCGTCATATTGGAACATGTCATGTGTCACAAAACTTCCACTCATCTGTTCCTCTCTCTCTCTTTCTCGCTCTCTCTTTCTCGCTCTCTATTTATACATATATCCCCACTGTCGAGTATAATTCCTTTATAGCAGCAAATAAGAATACAACAAGCAGGGATGAAGCACCACAACAAGCGTGGCTCTCAGAGTGAATGGAGAGTAAGTGGGTATCTTCAGGGTTGCTGCTGCTGCTGCTGCCTTTGAGAAAAAGGAGAGAACCCAATCCAAAGGTGGACACTAAAAAAGCCATCGTCCACTGAAGTATATGAAAGCAACACAAAGTCGTCTGCAACAAGTTGGTGATGGGATTCCCTGAAGGGCTGTGGACTGCTCTTTTGGAGCACACACTCGTTGTAGTCTCCCTTTTGTTTCCTAAAGCTTACACGTCTTGCATACGTACGTCTCGTTTCGACTGTACGTACACATGGGAGTACTGGAGCAGCGTCGATGTAGGGTCGAGAGAGACATGGCGTAGAAGGGAACAAGAGAGAAGATAGAATGATAACAGCACCGGCCAACACCTACCGTGCACAAAGGAAGCACGCAGTCAATCAATGAAGGGAAGCAGTACTGCAAAACAACAAGGAAACCCTACCTGCTGTCGTCCAGCGGAGGGGGGAATGCATGGCGAGACGACAGGAGATTTGGTGGTCGAGTGCTTTGGATTTGGGGGGCCCTTCCGCCACTTGGCCGCGCCTACCTGATGATGATCTTTGTACTGCGAGACTGGATCCAGCTCGGAGTACTTTGGAGGCATCAGAGGGATGGATACATCACAGGTTATATTGATCGGTGATGATGTCAGTGTCTTCGCCATGTCTTGGCCTGAGAGCTGAGTAGTATACATTGCCGAGCAGGCCTCGCCCAAGGTCAGTCGTGGCCTGCAAGGTTTGCACAGAGGACATGCACGAGCGGTGCTTTCAGGTGTGACCATACCATACCTTAGCTTAATTAAGAGAGTCGAATGGCAAAGTACTCGTGCGGCTTTCTGTGTAATTGTCGGTCGTGGCTTGGCTTGTTTGTCCGAGCCCCTGGTTAACGGTGAACACGAATCTTAAAGGAGAGAGGAAACAGGTCCACTCTCTCTGATGCATGTATATGATCTCTTCGATGATCAAGTTAATTAAATAAAATAAAGAAAGAGTAAAACAAGAATAACCAAAAAAGATTTTTTTTTTTTTAAAAAATATAAATAATCTTGAAAAAGGCATGAGAAATAGGTTTAGTATTTTTCTTTCTTGAAAAAAATCCAAATATGAAAAGCCAATTTCTTATAAATCTCGCTTCTTCTATTGGGCAAAGAAAAAAGAAATAAACATAGCAAGAAAATTAATCTTCTGTCAACTTAATTCCATACAACCAAACACACATAATGTGAAAATTGTGGTTGAAGTGAATGTATTCCATGAACATTCCTACTAACCACATCCCGTCACATTTAACGTTTAAAAAAAATATGTATTTCAAAATGAGACGAAACAATGCTAATATATGGAGCCAAATCGAGATTCGACACATAAACCCCTATCAATATGTGATGTCAACATAAGTTAGAAATGAGAATATATTTTATTTCAAGAATATTCACTTATCACTCTATGAATACAAACTTAATGGATATGATCAAAAATTCCAGACCCTATGTTTGACCCTCGTATAACGTCTCGAAATGATCCAAGAGCATTAGAGTAATCGTGACACATGCGACACGAGGAACTCATTTTGAGACAAGTCATTTCGAAGGATCATCAATTCCTTGAAGATATAAATTTTAAAAGTGTGATGATAAATTTTGACATCAAAAGAGTAATTAAATTTCCCTCATACTTATGTATCGTGTCATATTAGAGACTCTTTCTTAAAATCTTTATTTATATGGAAAGACGTAAATCCCACACAACATGTGGCACTCTAATCTTGCAAGTGTTACATTAAGATTCTGACAATATATCATTCGTTATTTATTCTTTGAAAACAAATTATATTGGTAGCTTGTATGATCAATGTCATGTCATGAAGTAAACCCTTATCAAAATTATCGATAGCTTGTAAGTTACTATGTTTTTCATATTTTCACAAAAAAATATGTCTTATTTTCAAATTTTTTTATTAAACATGTTCTTCAATTTACTAGAAATATTCAAGGCATTACTTTGGTTTCTTGTAAGGATCCCACAATCATAATTTAGAGTTTTCTTGTAAGTATATTATGATTAACTAATACTTACCAGTGGTTAAGAGGCAATGTGCACAACTAAGATTTTGAATTAACATCGAGTAGGATCTTTTTCATGCTTCCTCATATGCTCTTTCTTTCCCATGCATTCAATTGATACACATTACAATGAGGGTAAGAGTTCCTTTTCTTGACAAGCATATAAACAACAGAATAGGTACTTCATTTGCTATGCAAGCTTATATGTTGCTTCCTGCCATGCCCTACGGTGGATTAGATTGCACTCCATGGAAACGCAATTACTTCTTTCTGGGAAACCGGATGGAAGTCACCAGATCCAGTAGTCTTTTTGTGCTCACAGTGTCGGCTGACGACTCCACATGGTATCTCACTTCACGATCCGGCAAAGCAACATGCATCCTCATGGCTTCCAGTAAGCTATGTGGAGGAAGAGGAGAATGAGGATTGGTGATGTAGTAAACACAAGGCTTCAGTTCCCAGCGATCAAACTGGAGCAGTTGTCGCGAGAATGGCGGGACAGCGTGATGCGCGGAGTCCGCTGTAGCCGAAAGCAAAGGATGGATCTCGTGGAGCCATCACCGACATCTTCCTCCTCGTCGTCGCCCTTGGAAGAGAAGGACGACCTCCGCCGAGAACGGGGCGACTCCAGTCGGGAGAACGGGGACGACGTGAACGAGGAGGAGACGGGCGATGAAGGTGACTTCCTCGGCGTGAGCTTTCGGAATAGGGTGGCGAGGAAGGTGAACCGGGAGGATGGGCTGACCCTTCGCTTCTTGCTGACCAGCTTAGCCTTCCTGAGAACGGGGTGGAAGTAGGAGGAGGGTGGTGGGTTGATAGGAGGGAGCGGTTCCGCCAGGGCGACGGCGGTGGGCTTGGGAGTGCCCGGCTGCGACTCCCAAACGAAGGGCACGGAGCCGGGTGCGACGCCATCGTAGACGCCGAAGGAAGGGGTGGTGGACAAGGAGGCGTCGTCCTCCTTGGAGAGGAGCCTGGCGTAGAACTTGCTGTCGTGCGGCGTGATGTGGAGAGGGCTGGGCGAAGGATCATCTGAGGTTTTGGCGAGCATGACTCCGGCTAAGCTCGCCATGGTGTTGGATGTGGGAAGGCGGGCGGTGACGGAGGGAGGTATGGGCACTAATAGTGCACCGAGGGAGGGGGGCTTTTATAGGAATGGAATTGAGGCGAATCCAATGAATGCATGGTGTTTGAGCTGAATCAACCCAACTCTACTGATAAGAACATGTAGTGCCCATGCGGCATCCACCTAACATTGCGTTCACATCAATTAGATTAGATGTTCATTCAGTGATTAAGTTAATGCATTAACTATTTGGAATCGAACTATATAAGATTTTAGTTATTATTGAGCTTCATAAATAGTTCTCAACTTAGTTAAATTAAAATATTTACATCTTTATCATTTCTAGTAGGATGCTTTTAATTTCCGTGCATGTTTCTTAATTATATATATATAAAAGATTCCATAAATCGTAAACCTATCTTCGAAACCCGATGATGTTTAACTCATTTGTAAGAGCTATTTGTGCTTGATAAAAACTAATTATTTTATATTGCTTACGTTATATATGATGGCAACATATTATCGATACGTTCATCTTTTTGTTTTTTTTAAATTACATGAGGTTAACATTTAGATTGACTCTTGTAAACGAACATATTCATCTGGGTATCTTATGTTTTTGATAATCCTAACTAAGGATGTAACGATACGTATCATTATAAATAATTCATCTTTGTTTTTATATTCTATCAAAACTACACCTAATTATCTTTGAATAATTTTTTAATAATTTCACATATTCATCTTAATATTTTTAATAAAATAAAACTATATATATATATATATATATATATATATATATATATAATTTCTTAACCACCTAATATTCTTATATGAAAACCTGATATACATTATACCGCGGCATGTTTTTATTTCCTACTTGAAATATTGACAGCTCTATTTTCTCTTTAGTGCTCTATTTTCGATTATATAAGATTTTAGTTATTATTGAGCTTCATAAAAAGTTCTCATCTTAGTAGGACACTTTTAGATTTTCGTGCATGTTTCTTAGTTATATATATATATATATATATATATATATATATATATAT